GCGATCACTACACATATATTCATTCAGTTTCAGGCGTTTCTTTGCTGTCTCCTCGTGAACAACCTTGTCAGAATTCAGAATGTTCAGCAGGGGGATGAAGCTAATTCTCATGGTAGCCTTCCAGGCTATGAGCCTCATCTCCATATCAACTGCAAGTCTGCAGTACAATTTCTACGGCTCGTCGTGCCCAAATGCCGAGCAGACGATCAGCAATGTCGTCTACGGCTTGATCGATGCTGACCCTTCCATGGCCCCAGCGCTGCTTCGTTTACATTTCCATGATTGCTTTGTCATGGTAATTTAATTGCTAATCACAAGTTAATTTAATTTTTCAACTATGATCGAATTGATAGCTTATTTAATTTCTCACAAGATTACTGCATGCAAAGCTTAGATACTGATGATTAATCACTTCATTTTGTCCCTAAAAAAATGTAAACTAAGTTTTTTTTTTTTGATCATGCAGGGTTGTGATGCGTCCATCCTTCTTGATCCCACCAAGGCAAACGGCTCGCCGGAGAAGACAGCGATCCCGCTCCGCGGGTACGACGCCGTGAACAAGATCAAGGCGGCCGTGGAGGCCGTCTGCCCCGGCAAGGTCTCCTGCGCCGACATCCTCGCCTTCGCCGCCCGCGACTCGGTGACCAAGTCCGGCGGCTTCGTCTACCCGGTCCCCTCCGGCCGCCGCGACGGCGACGTGTCGTCCGCCTTCTCCGTCTTCTCCAGCATCCCGTCGCCGTTCTTCGACGCGGACGAGCTCGTCCAGAGCTTCGCCGCCAAGGGGCTCACCGTCGACGACCTGGTGGCGCTCTCGGGTGCGCACTCCATCGGCACCGCGCACTGCTCGGGGTTCAAGAACCGGCTGTACCCGACGGTGGACGCCTCCCTGGACGCGAGCTACGCGGCGGCGCCGCCGCCGACGACGGCGTGGTGAACAACAGCCCCGTATCGCCGGCGACGCTGGGCAACCAGTACTTCAAGAACGCGCTCGCCGGGCGGGTGCTGTTCACGTCGGACGCGGCGCTGCTGGCCGGCCGGAACGACACGGCGGAGAAGGTCCGGGAGAACGCCGGCGACCTGACCGCGTGGATGGCGCGGTTCGCGGCGTCGATGGTGAAGATGGGAGGCATCGAGGTGCTCACCGGGGCGCGGGGGGAGGTCAGGGGGTTCTGCAACGCCACCAACAGCTAAAAAGCTAAGCTATACTGGTTCGAGTGAAGAATTAAACGTACGTGTGCCATTGTGTGCATGCCGTTTTTGCTTAGTGGCAAGTTTGCACCTCGTCCTAATTAAACGTTTTTGTTCTCCAATCTACACCATACATGCACACACCATTCATGTTGCAATTTTTTATTGCCACCTTGTTCTAAAAGAGGAGGAAAATTAACCACCTTTGTCATTCACTCTGGACTCTGGTTATAGTATTTTGGTTGTATGGCTCATGTAAAAGATTTGGGGCGTTTTAGTTTGAAGCCAAAATATGTCCGACCTATTATTTGGTCATTTAAATAGAACTCTGCCAAATATTTGAATTAAATCCAATATAGTTATCAAGTTTATACGACTATCAATACTATTTTATCAAAATATTGGTAGTTCCAGGAAACACAGCCGGAGTGGTGAAGGAGTCATGACCAGGAATTTCAAGTGCTGATGTCCAAGAATATTACACGTGCACCAGTGCGCTTTCAATTTGATTTTTAATGAAACCAAGGATTTATCATTAGTCTCCATTTCCTTAAGAATGTTAGAGGGCACATTCACGTGTCTGTGACCACGATGTAGTAGTGTCTGTGCATTTACATTTTCCGTGTATTCGAGATAATATGTAATGACATGACTTGCCTTTAGACCCCTTTTTTATTAAGATATATATTATATCTCATTTTTTGTTAGCACGTTTTATAAATTGCTAAACGGTGTTTTGTGCGAAATCTTTGTATACAATAGTTGCTCTAAAATATCAAATAAAATCATTTGTCAAGTTTATAATAATTAAAACTCAATTAATCATGCAGTAATGGATGATTTGCCATTTTACGTGTCTTTATTTAATCCTCTTGTTTATCACTTGCGAACACCACCTAAAGTTTAACACTATCAAAAAAAATATTTTTTTGATAGGAAATTAAACAAAAAAAATGCCCCTTGATTGCCATCATTGTACTCGTCATACAGCAATTCCATGTTTTTCTCTTGTACTTAATCCGCTACATAACTGCTAACGGATTTTGTCGGAAGAAAACTACATGTCGATCGAGTTTAATCAGTGAACCAACGGACTAGCCGGTTTAATCAATAACTAGCATGATGCCCCCACGCAGATTGCGCGGCTAGCATCATTATATTTTCTCTCATATAATATCATATATATTTTCTCAATGTATTATTCAAATATATTAAAATGATAACATAATTTTAATATTCATATTGTATTTTATATACGTGTTACTTATTAATTATTTTTAATATCAAATTTTAGTTATTTGTAAATTATATTCCTATATGTACTCTAGATACATCTTTCAATTTTTTTTTAATTCCGAATTTTCGTTATCTATAAATTATATTTCTACGTAGACTCTAGGCTCTTCTTCCAATATTATTTATTTTTAATTCTAAGTTTTTATTATTTCTAATTGTATTTCTATGTGAACTCTAAACTCATATTTCAATATTATTTAATTTTAAATTTCGAATTTCAGCTACTTCTAAATTGTATTCCTACATTAACTTTAGACTCTTCTTCCCATTTTTTAAATTTTAAATTTTAGTTATTTGTAAATTATATTTTTATACGGACTCTAAACTCTACATTTAATTTTATTATGTTTATTCCTAATTTTAGTTAGTTTTAAATTTCTGTATTGACTCTATACTCTACTTATAATATTCCTTATTTTTAATTCCGAATTTCTATTATTTCCTAATTGTATTTCTATATGGACTCTATACTCTACTTATAATATTCCTTATTTTTAATTCCGAATTTATATTATTTCCTATTTATATTTCTATATGAACTCTATACTCTACTTCTAATATTCCTTATTTTTTAATTCCGAATTTCAGTTATTTATAAATTGTATTTCTATATGGACTCTGGTCCCCTGTTACAATATTTCTTATTTTTTAATTCTGAATTTTAACTATTTCTAAATTGTATTTTCATATGGACTCTGTTTTTCTTTTTTTTCGAGTAATATGAGAATTTCTAGGCTGTAAGAGTGAACGTAGAGGCTCGTTTTTCTATTACTTTAATAATTTAATAGATGGTCGGGGTTTAGCAACTATGATTTCAAATAGCATCCAGTCATGGGCCGTGGTCCAAAACTTCATGTGCAGAGCCCTTCTAGAGGCAGGTGTTTGGGCTAGACCACATATGGGTGATCCAGTTTCTGGCACCGACCAACTACCAAGACGGCCAGTTTGCCGTTTATGCGACCAGTTTCGCACAAAATGGATTTGAGTTTGAGTTATGAATTAAAAAGAAGATTTGAATTTGAGTAGATTTCCAAAAAAACAAATGCACTATTCATTCCCTACCTATAAGATTCTCTCTGGTGTATATTTTCGGCACCCACACTGCTGCCATACGTTTGGCCAAGGTTATTACTATTGGGATTCTAGTTAGTATCGTTTTGCTTAAAATAGTATCATATCATAGTACCGGGATACTATGAGATTTTCTTTTTTTAAGTTTAGTTAATATTTGTATTAATTACATATAGTTATTCGTTATAAAAAAATATAGTAATAATATATGTCATGCAAATAGAGACATTTATCAAGAGAAGCCACATTAGTTTTGGTATATTTAACTGATTTTTATATAAACTTGAACATATTTATTTATATTATTTTCAAACTATCTTATTTTATATAATATTTTGAAGGATCGTAAGAATCGTAGAACAGGATACTACCTAAGACTTTGTAGTATCGTGTAATAATGAATAGTAGGATCAAAGATACTATGAAAACTAAGATATTAGGTAGGATCGGTATCGTTTCAATTTAATAGGATTGTTGTATCTTCACATACTAGAATACGGATCGGAATACTGACAACCTTACGTTTGGCTAGTGAACAACGTGCAAGCTTGGATTGGGAGCTGCGCGCGCGCTAGCTAGCCGTTACACGATCGAAGTGTATCAGTACCCAAAATTAGTCACCGAGGGTGGGAATTACGATGCACAATCACGCATGCGTCAGTACCTGCATCACCCGACCGGTATCAACGACGACAGGGACGTCGAGGCCGACGCGTGCAGCGCACGACGGCTAGGGACGAAGCGCGGGCGACGTCGGCGCGGCGTGCGGGCGCCGGATTCGCTTGCATGTCTCGTGTAGCCTCGTCGTGGCGATCGAGCGGGCTCGCGCTCAGAGGCCCGCACTCTGGCCGTGGCCGGGCACGCCCGCCTGTCAGTGGCGCAACGACTATCTTTGACGCGCGGCGTCTCGTCGTTCCAAACCGGCCTGCACACGCGCGCTTCTTCTCTAGCTAGTAGTTCACAGTTTTACAACGTGATATTACTACCACGATGGCTCAGCGGCGAAAGGTTAAACCACGTTGCTAAGAGCAAGTATAATAGTGGGTTATAAGAAAGCTGAATGCTGAGGTGGATGGGAGAAAAGAGGAGAGAGATGAGAAGCGGGCTGTAAGTTTACAGCCGGTTTAGGCATAGGAACCAAGAAAATCTGTGAGACAGACATGTGGACCATATATTTATAGTGAAGAGTTAACCATTATATAAATAAGCTAATAGATAGACTATAAGTAAGCAGCTGGCTGTATTATTATCCTTGCTCTAAACAGAGGTCGCGGCAACGGGTGGGAAAGCCATGTAATCAAACGTGACGCCTTCAGTTTACCGAGGTACGTGTACTAGCTATACCTTCCAGGTCAACTCTGCTCCCCTCTCGATATGTCACTAATCACTGCACCCCGGCACGCACATCCACCATCGATCCACGTATATAAATCACCGTCACGCCTAGCTCCTGCTTTGCTGCACCACTACACTACTACACGCTGCATATATATCGATCAACACCGACGCATCGGTCACTGCGATCAGAGCAAGTGACAGTGAAGATGTGCAGCGCAGCACGCGGTGTTCGTCGTCACGGCTCGCCGGTGATCATAGCGTGGGCGATCGTGTTCTTCTCCGTTTTTGCGTCGTCGGAGGCGCAGCTGCAGGTCGGATACTACAACTATACTTGCCCCAGGGCGGAGGACCTCGTCCGCAACGTCGTCCGCGCCGCCATCCTCCGCGACCCCGGCAATGGCCCCGGTCTCGTCCGCCTCTTCTTCCACGACTGCTTCGTCAGGGTCAGTACACTAACACCCGCAAACCAGCTACTCTCTCCGTCCCAGTATGTCCTAATTTAATTAGGATGAGATTAGACTTTTACTAGAACTACAAATTTAGACAACTAGGAAGGTAGCCCGCGCATTCACGCGGACACGTACCGTACGTAGGATAAATTTGAGAAACTTATAAAGGCGGTATACCAACGAAATAATATCTGCAAAGTTTTAAAATTATGTTTTTTTAATAAATTTTCTTTGTTAGAATTGTATGACGAATTTAATTGTTATTTATAAAATTACCGGAGATTAGGGTTGGTAACTTACAGTATAAAAAATGGTATCTGAGACATATGACTCTTGAGATTCCATATGAAAAGAGAGAAAACTTAACTCTTGAGATTCCATATGAAAAGAGAGAAAACTTAAGTTATAAAATACATTACATATACAACCATATATAATTAAACCATATATAATTAATGGCTCTACCCATTTTTGTAGAAAAATTGATAATCAATTTATTATTTGATGGCAAACATAGATTGGTCATAGCTATGGATAATTCCGCATAGGAAATTATGAATTCCATAGGGAAAGAGAGAAAACTTAAGTTATAAAAGGCATTACATACACAACCATATATAATTAATGGCTCTACTGATTTATATAGAAAAACTGATAATTAATTTATAAAACAAAATATATGACCCTCGATTTTAGACCATTATTTCTAGCCATTGGATATATAGATTATCTAACATATCGTGCAGAGTCCAACTAACCAAATTATTCGTCTTCCCTCACCACGGACAGTGGACATGCTAATTCGTACCTCAGGCAGCATGCTCGCATCATCATACTTAGAAGAAAAAAAAAGTGCCCGACATGTATATGCATAATACATATAACTATCTCATACCCCTCTTTTCGTCTGAGAAAAATATCCTATACCCATGCATGCACACCGGGATGCACTGGCTAGCCCTCCAATTTGTTCACTCCATGGACAGTATGTTCCTTTGTTCTAGTGATTAGATAATTTAATAAGTACAAATAAGTATCTAAAATCAATTTTTATTAGTAAAATATCCATAAGGACAGCTCTGTAGACCCCCTCTCTCCTTCTTCTATTCTTGGTGTATTTGTTGGATTTGAGCAACGCGATATAGGTATTTTGGGCTATAAGTTAATGTCCAACTTTCAAGGGATTAAGGTTTCCCAACTCTCAGCACCGAACACATCATAAGATCATTCATTTATCTTTAAAAGAAGATCTATCTTTTATCAAGGCATTGGGATTAAGTAAATAGCATCCACATACACGTTGAAAGATATAATTAAGTTGGTTGTGAGTCAATAGGTCCATTGAAGCTATAATTAAGGTTAAGGTTAACGGTTTATAGGTTATTTTGATTTTATAAAAAAAATAAGGTGGATATTTTGATTTTTATTGAGAACTTTTAGGATTTTTTTCGTATGGATGTGGGTCCAAAATATAATGATTTTATTAGCAATTAAATATAGTTGGTATAGATATTAAACTATTGATTTAATTAAAAAAATATAATGGTTCAAACAGATCATAAATTGAATATATAATTTAAAATTTACAGCTATTGAAGATTCTTTATTTATTTATAAAACATACCAAGATCAATATGTATGAGATATATTATATGTCTATGTTTGCAAGTGCATGCAGTCTTTGAAAGTAAGATGGAATTAACTTACGAATATAGAAGATATTAGATACCCTTAAGCCTTAACTTAATTACCTTAGAAAAAAAAAAGGAGGTGAGCAAGGAAAAAATCACACAGACTCTTATCATGCGTATGGATGGAAGCATGTACGTGCGTTGGGCGGACTTGTACCGCCTGATTGATCTTAAGTTTTTTTACTAAAGATAAATCTAATGGCATCTAATGGTAAAAAATATTAGGTCCACCAGATTAAATAAAACCAATGGTTAGATGTTCTCCTTTTTCCATAGATTTTCTAGGAATTAATTAGAGCGTCATGTGTCATCTTTGGACCGTTTCTAGGAATCTCACGTGACAGTTTAGGAGCGGTTTTAGGATGTTCGATGGATTTTTAGTATATAATAGATAGATATATCTATGTGGGTTTGTGAAATTTACTCCATAATATATATTGCCATTTTTAATATTTTGTTTTTATTTGGTTGTCATGCAAAGAAAAAATGGTATATAGTGTTTTTCTTATATATAGATTTGATAGGTTCACCGGTTTAAACCATCTATATACCAAAATCTAATGGTTTTTAATGTTTGTTCATATTTGGTTTTCATGCAAAGTACAATGGTCTATGGTAAAATTTAGGGAAGTGTTTCTTTTTATATAGATTAATGGGTTCACCGGCTTAAATAATCGTTAAAATATTTTTTCAGGGACAATGGTTAAAATAATTGGTTCACCGATCGATTTAAGTGAAAAGCGAAGATTAGATATTTTATTATAATATTTTTTACACGTTAAAATTTTCATCTAGAAATAGGAAGAGAAGGATTGGAGGAGAGGAGAAAGCATCGCATTGCACTACGTATGTACATACATACACGTTTACAGAGGAGAGGATAGGGTGGGCCGCTGGGAGAAGGGGTGAGGTTTGGTATATTTTTTATAAAGATAAATATAATAGTTGAAAATAGTGGGTCTATCGATTTATTAAACAAATAGTGGGTCCACCGATTTATTAGAACACCACCTAGCGGTTTAGTAGCGTTTTGTAGGATGTCACGTGGTAATTTAGGAGCGTTTGTACGAAGTTTAATGGACTTTTAGTATATAATAGAAGATTTCTCTTTCTAACTAATAAAGTATAAAAATATGAGAATGAAGAGTTAATCTAGGAAGAGGGTGGTGTAATATTAATCAATTATTATAATTATGTAATTACCTATGAGATTAGGACAGAGGGATTAAGTAGTTTAATAGATCTATAATGGTTAAAAATAATAGGATAAGTGTAAATCGATGGTGCCATATTTTGCATGTTTCTCACAACTTTTTGAATTTTTTAATCATAAATTACGAAGGAGATTCGCAGTGAGGGATTAATTAGTCTAATAAATCTAATCTAATCATCGAAATAATATTTTCATCGGTTTGAGTGTAAATAGATAATATGATGTTTTGCATTTTACTTAGAACTTTTGGATTTTATTGATCTTAAATTAATTTGTTTAATTATAAACTAAATCATGACAATTTAGCTCATCATGTTTACCTTGAATTGCTAGCTATAAAATAGAAAGTAGAGAGAACGGCAGACACGTGATATATATGTATTACGGTCAACGTATCAAAATAACAACAACAACAACAATAATATATGAGAGGTATATTATTATTATTTTCATATATAATAGGTAGTTGTATATGAGATATAAGTACGTACCTACTATCTACAGGATGGGTGGGTTAGGTTTGGGTGGTTAACTTTTTATTTATAAGATAAATATAATGGTTGCAAATAATAGGTCCATCAAATGTAATGAAAATCAACGGTTATTTGTTAGAGTGGCATATGGCGGCTTAGGATCACTTCTAGGATGCCACGTGGCGATTTAAGAGTGTTTGCAGAAAGTTTCATGGACTTTTGGTTAATATAGATCAAATAACGATGTAGAATAATGTGTCCATCTATTTTAGTAGAAACCAATGGTTTGATGTTTCTCTAATTTAAAAGTGCCACACAATGGTTAGAAATATTTATATGATATTTAATGGACTTTAACATTTGTGGAGGTATTCTTTTCTATAAAGATAAGTTCAATTTTAATTATGATCGAAAAAAGAAAGGAAAGGAACAAAGGGGAAAAAAAGAAGAACGGAACAGGGGAGCAGTAAGTGCGTACTGCATGGAGGTGGGGCCGGTGAGAGGTTTTGATTTTTAAGATTGATCTAACGATATAAAATAATGGGCCCATCGATTTAAATGAAAATCGATGGTCAAATTTCTTTATTTTATTAGAGTGTCACGTGGCAACATGAGAGCGTTTTGCGGGAGCCATATGGCAGCTTGAGAATGTTTACAGAGAGTTTAATGGACTTTTAAAAAACTATCTTATATTATTTATTTATTGGGTAAATATATAATGGTGTAAACTTTATTTTTAAATATTAAATATTACATAGCTAATTTAGTTTCGCACATTTGGAATGAGCTATATGATGATATAATCTACATGAATCTATATATAATTACCTATCATATGATCACAGTGTATTTATATTTGCATTAACTTTGCTCACCTTTACAAAGTAGCAAGCCAGAAATAAGACATATGTACGCATTTGTATGAGTATTTCTGAGGAAAGAGAAAAGGAGAGGGGAAGCAGAGGAAACGGATGTCTTGTTCGGTCTTGTGCGTACGCTCGTGTACGTACCTACGCGGAAGGAGGAGATGTGACAGATCTAACGATTTAAAATAATGGGTCCACTGATTTAAATAAAAATCGATGGTCAGATTTATCTATCTTATTAGAATGCCACGTGGCAACATAAGAGTGTTTTGAGGTAGCCACATGGCAGTTTAAGAGTGTTTATAAGAGCAAGTTTAATAGCAGAGCTCACTGCTTTACTATAAGTCAATGTTGGAGCTAACTTGTATAATAGTTTAGCTATAAGGTTAACTTTATTTTTTCCATTCTCTCTCTTTCTCACTCTATGAATTTAATGCAATTTTTTTAGAGCTTGTGTGGAGCTGGCTCTTGCATGAGAGTCAAAACTACCCACTTTTCTTTATCTCTCTTCCACATAAGCATATAGCTTGCTTATAACCCATTACTATCCTTGCTCTAAGTAGTTTAATAGACTTTTAGTATATAATAATAGATAGATGTGTCAATTCATAGTTTTAGAATGAGATTGTTACGTATTGGGACGGAGGGAGTAGCTAACTAAGCTCGTTTGCATGGTCAAGGCTGACCCTGTGTTTTTTTTTTTTTTTTTTTTTTTTTTTTTTTTTTTTTTTTTTGCTCTGCGTGTGTGTACGTAGGGGTGTGACGCGTCCGTGCTGCTGGACGCCGTCCCGGGCAGCAACGCGAGGGTGGAGAAGATGTCGCAGGCGAACAACCCCAGCCTCCGGGGCTTCGCCGTCATCGACCGCGCGAAGCGCGTCCTGGAGCGGCGTTGCCGGGGCACCGTCTCCTGCGCCGACATCGTCGCGTTCGCGGCGCGCGACGCCTGCGGCATCATGGGCGGGATCGACTTCGCCGTGCCGTCGGGGAGGCGCGACGGCGCCGTCTCCGCCGAGTCCGACGTGCTCAACAACCTCCCGCCGCCGTTCTTCAACGCCACCCAGCTCGTCGCCGGCTTCGCCGCCAAGAACCTCACCGCCGACGACATGGTGGTGCTCTCCGGCGCGCACTCCTTCGGCCGCTCCCACTGCTCCGCCTTCTCCTTCCGCCTCTACCCGCAGGTCGCGCCCGACATGGACGCCGCCTACGCCGCGCAGCTCAGGGCGCGGTGCCCGCCGCCGGCGGCGCCGCCAGCGACGGGGAGGCGGGACAGGGTGGTGGACCTTGACCCGGTGACGAAGCTGGTGCTCGACAACCAGTACTACAAGAACATCCAGAGAGGGGAGGTACTGTTCACGTCGGACGCCACGCTCGTCAGCCAGAGCGACACGGCGGCGCTCGTCGACCTGTACGCGCGGAACCGGAAGCTGTGGGCGTCGCGGTTCGCCGCCGCCATGGTCAAGATGGGCAACCTCGACGTACTCACGGGAAGCCAAGGGGAGATCAGGAAATTTTGCAATAGAGTAAATTAGCAGCTAGTACTGTAGTTCTTCTCCACGGATCGATGAAGCTACCCGCTTCGATGCTGCGGCTGTGAAATGGATTTTTACTGCTAGTAGTTGTTTGCTAATTAACTTATTGAAGCCTCGTGTGTTCTTTTATTATGTCATTAAACAATATTCATTGTACGGCTTTCTAATGATCATAAGTCATAACATCCATTGTATAATTTATTACTACCTTGATTTTATATTACAAGATAATTTAACTTTTTTTAAAAGTTAAACTTCTTTAACTTTAACTAAGCTTATAGAAAAATAGAAAAATACAGTGATATTTTCAATACAAAACAAATATACAAATATAGTATCGAAATATATTCAATGTTAAATGTAAGGGAACAAATTTAGTGTTGTAGATGTTGTTACGTTTTTCTATAATATGATCAAACTTAGCAACATCTAAATTATCAAATTAATTTTATTAAATCTATCATTAGATATATTTTGCTAATATGTTTCTTTTGTATTGAAAATACTACTATATTTTTCTATAAATTTGATCAAACTTTAAAAAATTTGATTAGCAAAAAGAAAAAACAACTTATAATATAAAATGGAGGGGTAATTATAATGTATCCACGTGTGTTCTATTGAAGAATTTGTGGTTTAAAGATAAAAAAGAATTGTGTTTTATCCATATGGTCTGTTTATTGAAATTGCGTTAGGAAAGTACACTTGAGAGTGCAGTGGTGGATGCATGCGTCTTGATGAATGAACTCGGTTCCTAAAGACCTTATTTCGAGGCTTCGAGCTATGCATAGGCATAGCCACAACCACAAATAAGGCCTTCTAGAGATGGAGCTCCACGTGAAAAAACAAAATGTCACAAATAAGCCTCTTCGACTGCTTGACATCTTAACGTATTAGGGAGACCAGCAACGTTAGAATTCTTCCAAGCATGTGCCATGATGAGGTTTGGCGTAATCTCCTAGAATTAGTGGTTTAGTTTACCATGCATGCATATATATGGTTATTTTCCTTTTTGAAAAACGTGATGGCGAATTCTAATGACTTGATTGTGTTTGTATTGGAAGGTTCGATCACTGAATAAATAAAGGGAAATGAAGTTTACACGCATTGGGGTTTGTGGATGCTATCACTCTTTCTAGGGAAAAAGAAAGCAAACGATGAAGCCTCATAAAAGTTCAGTCGGGCAGAAACGAAAGGACTAAATTAGTATTTCCTCCGGTTCCAGCGGTCTTAATTCTTCACGTTTTGAACAAAATTAAGATTAAACTTTTATAATTTTGACTACGAATAACTCCTAAAATATTTAAAGTAAAGATACTAGAACAATATAAAACAATATGTGTAGATTCGTCTTACATGGTACAACAACAAAAATAAAATTGTATTTATTTATTGTATATATCATATTAGAAAATCATAGTCCAATATATATTTTGGAGACCGTGTTATTGTTTAAAATGTCAAAAAATATAATAGATTACCCAAATTTCAACAAATAATTAAGCGTCAAAAGAGCAAGTCTACCTGAATTATGGGTTTCCACAGTTACAATTATACAAGTGCATCAGCCGCTGTCGTTATCAATTATAGATTCATAGTGCAGCGTTGTGTGTACTGACAATGTGGTGCCCCTCTTCTTTTTTTTTCAGGAAGTACAATGCAGCAGTTATTCTTCAGTTCAAACATCTGACTACAGATAAAATAACTGTCTTCAATAGGAAAACGATTCCAAAACCAGATTTTAATCCTAGGAAAACTACAATATTTCCTAACAATCATGTTGAAGTTTATCTTTCAGCAATGTAGGAAATACCTCAGGTAACCTTTCGATGGCATCTGTCATATTCCATTTCTTCAACTCGTGAAATGCTCTTCACAGGTACTCGCCAGGGCTGTTCAGACTGAAGTTGAAAAGGACATGGTCATCAGCAATTGGAGTCAATTGGATTCAGCAGTTAGCACTCAGATGACAGCAACAGGCTTCTGAGAAGAGTTGAACGGTTTGTAATTTGGATTGTGCAACCGATTCTCTAGATAAGCATGTCAGAAGATTAACCGGAAAACAGGGACAGCATGTTAGAAATAAAAGACCCTCCATCCCGAGAATGATGTCTCGCCAAATTGATTGATAAGAATTCACATTCTAATATTCATCCTATTTACTTCAGATGAGTATAAACATGAATAACAAATGCAACTGAAATCGCTGTGGGTAATCATACCTTCAGCAGATTTCAATAGAAGTAGTACGTACAAAAGGAATCAGCATTATTAGCTTGAATGAATGTATTTGTGGTTGTTAGAAATATTGTATAAAGAAAGCGAATCTCTTGTCTTTATGAATGACTTGTATGTTTGATCAGTGATCTGTGAATTCATGATTCATTTAGGCTGAAACCGCATAAATCATAAATCTAAAAAAACAACGGACAATGAAAAATTGACAAAATAAACTCGCACCACCACCCGTTTTAAACAGCTGTTTAGTACATTCATCAAACTAATACACTTAAAGCTGACATTCAGTGACCACATGTCCACATGAATAGTAATGGGCTAATGTGATGGATATATTATCTATTTGAAATATAAATTGTTGTAGCATGCATGTGGTAACTTTGACAAACTTTTTATATACAGATATCTAGATTTTAGAGTGTTCTCGGACATGCTGTTCCTGGTTTTGGTGTTGCTGCTGCTTCCATTGATATTTCCATGTGAAGGATTAGACCATAACAACATCAATATTCCAAAGTAAACTAACTGAACATTTATTGGGTAGCTAAACAAACATAAAACGGGGCAATTTCATTCTTACCCCTATTTCAACATCCAATTGTGATTTTGCCCTCACTTTTTAGGGTTTTCGTTTTTGCCCTTGCTTTTTTAAAACGAAGTAACATTTTGCCCTTATTATGCCCCTATTGTGGATGATAAAGTTAACGGTGTTAAGTTATTGGCGAAAAGACTTTTGTATCCTTACATGTTGTTGCACATTTGCTTCTACTTTTGTTCAATAATTGTATTTCCACCCTCATTTGTGCCCTTATCCTGTGTAACTTACTACGTGTGATCCATAGGGCATACGACAAATATTGCAGTTATATGACATTATTAAGATCATAAGAAAATGTGATGCTACAGCAAAAAAGCATCAGCATGTTCAAATCAAACTGCATCAGATTAATGAAAGATCATCTTAATTTAACTTCAGTTTCACCTGTTTCTGTTGTGATGTTGTCACATCAGAAAGATCTGAAACTAGATCAAAAGATCTTACGCAGTTGAGTATTGATTTGGAGATTTGCATACTCTAACACTTCTATTCACCTGCTAGCAATTTTTTGTGCATCCTGCTAAAGAACCTATGAGCAGCTGATACAAATATGCTTGCTTGCCTGCTTCCCGCGTGCCACAGCCCCTGCGTGCAGCTGCTGGCCTCCTGCTCCCTGCCACGCCGCCGTGGCCTCCCGCTCGCCACAATGGCTTCCTGTGCGCCACCGCCTGCTCCCAGCCCAGACACCGCCGACGGGGCCAGCAGCCCCACCGTGGCCTCCTGCCCGTGGCTGGCTGCTCCTGGCCGGGACACCGCCGCCACCGGGGGTGGGGATTAGTGATAGGGTTTTGGGTACTGCTCGGGCCAGCGAGACGGCCAGGGGTACAAAGGTAAATCTTCAATTTGCAAAATCATTATTTATTTTATTTTCAATTTCCTTACTACAACAATTACAGCTCCACTAACTTCCATGAGAACTAGGGGTAAACGCCTGTTTCATTTCAGAAAAACAAGGGTAAAAACGAAAACCCTAAAAAGTAGGGGCAAAATCACAATTGTATATCGAAATAGGGCTAAAAACAAAATTGTCCCTAATGTTTATCATATTATACTAAGTGTCAGCAACAGATCATTCTCAAATCTCACTGATCCTGCTGGAAAAGGCACAGTTTGTGCTCTTTGGATGGGTTTCCTCTAGTAAATTTTCTGCAAAACATGGATGTCTCCCTTTGAAAAGGATAAAGACATGCTTTGTGATGAATAACTTGTTGGCCAAGAAGTGTTCCACTTCCATGCTCAAAAACATGTTGTGAGTTGGGACTTGGGAAGATAAAACTGTGGTTGGGATAGGCTCTTCTAGGATAAAATATTACAAGAACAGATATTATAACTCCAGTTTTTTTGTTTGTTACTTGTAGAGACTGTTCATTATCACTTATCAGATTGCAGTTTATTTTCATGTCAGTTGCACATACTGGTGCTGTTTGTGTGCGCCAATATCAGCAATGGTTGAACTTTCCTGAAAAGTTCTTGCATGTAATTATGGTTAATGAAGTCCCTATCTTGAAAAAGAGGTCCATTCTGTCAAAGTCTCAACATTTGGTTAACCAGCAATATCTGCTATGGCAACAAAAACACATATAATGATTTTATTTGTTCAAAAAAACACAGCTGGATATGGTTTGCATATCTAGTAATCACCTACAGAGAAATGTAGCAAATTTTTATAGGTCATTGTAAACAAATATTCTGCACTGTTAGTTGTTCAGTGTCCTCATGAGAATCAGATAGCACAAACAAATATTTGGTTCACCTGTCTAAAGCATGACATGATGCAAACATGTTTAGATAGTTCAATGAAAGGAAAGGTTTTGAGTGATATGCTTACAAAGAATATCCTCAAGTCTTGACAGACTGTTTAGAGGTTCCAAAACAAATGCTGCGATTCCATTTCCAACCCCAGATCGAGTCAACTGACAAAAACAAAGCCATCATTTAAAGAATTAATCGAAAAGAAAATGAGTTAAGTCATAAATGAATAAAGGCAATCTTGCCATAAAACAGTATCAACGGCCACAACATCATAAAACCTACATTTCAGCATAATTTCAGAAACAGAGTTGTTGGACATCAACCAGTCATCTTATTTATTTGCAGAAAGTTGATCAAACTAAGAATTGAATGAATCATCAATTTACCTTGGCCACTGCTCCCCAGGTCATACTAACCATAGAAGCGCAACAGAAATCATATGCACAACTCACAGGGCCTCTCCTTCTTCTGAATCATCATCTTCATCTGACTCATCAGTGCCTTCCTCCTCCATCTCATCCTCAATACCTGTGCCAACTTTGGCACCCCTATAAGCCTCCTGCAGTCTCTGTTTCTCCAACTCTTCCCTCTTCTTCCTCAACTCCTCCAAATACTCTCTATGCCCCTCATCCATGATTGCCACAAACCTCTCCTTCAGCTCAATCATTGGATCCTTATCAACAAGCTCGCCATTCTCATCATATGCTTCCCTCAACACCGCCGTCTTGATCCCACCCTTCAACGACACATAGAATATCCCCGGATGTCTCGTGAACGCATTAGCAAACGCATTTGACAGCCTAAACTCATCACAGAACTTCCCTATAATTGGTACAGCCATCCTCCGCTCTACAGACAAGGATAAAACCTCATGTAAAACACCAATCAACCTCTTCTCTGCTTCCGGTGACGCCGGGTGAAGCCCAGACGTATCGGCGTAGGGCGATACATATGGCAACTCAAGCCAATCCCTCACCCACTCCCTCATCTCCTTCTTGAGATAGAATCCCCTCGGCAATTTAACCGTAAAATTCGGCCTCGGCCGAATGCCAACCACATCGGCCTCCTTGTCAGCCCTCAATTCAATCACCGACTTCGCCAGCTGATCATCCCACGAAACCAGCTCAAGAAACGCGTTGCCGGACGCGTCAGGCCCCGGATCTCCAACAAGGCGGAAGAGGTGAGGGTACCTCGGGACCAGCGAGGTCAGGAAATCGTCGGGGAGGCCGAAATCGCGCTTGGCGGCGGCAATCTTGGGGACGGGGAGGGCGCGGGTGGAGGAGATCATGAGGAGCTTGGCGAGCCTGGAGGCGAGGAGCGGCGAGTGGAGCGCGTGGTGGCGTGAGGCGAACTCGAGGAAGGAGAGGAGGTGCGGGGAAGGGGAGGCGACGGGGTTGGGGGGAGGGGAGACGGAGAGGAGGGTGGGGTACCGGCGGAGGAAGGTCGGGACGAGCACCGGGAGGCGGATTCGTTGCCGGCGCTTGGAGAGGTAGCGGAGGAGGAGGCGGCGGCCCGGGGAGAGGAGCACCTCGCGGACGAGGCGGGAGGCGAGGCGGTACCGTCGGTCGCGGAGGATGGCGGCGTCGAGGGCGGCGTCGCGGCGCCAGGGAACCTTGAGGGAGGAGATGCGGCGCACGGGGCAGAGAGATTTGAGGCGGTGGACGCCGCCGGCAGCGGCGGCGGCGGCCGGAAGAAGCATGATGCGATGTGCGGGTTTAAGGGAAGTTTCGAACGGTGAGGTGGAGGAAGAGACATTCTTCACTAACAAAATACGCTTTACGAACTAGTTAACGTATTGTGGAATACGTATTTCTGAAGTGAATAGCCACGATTCCTAGCCCATCCCAGATATGGGCTGGAAAGTTAGTTTGATTTCCTGGCCCATCGTGATTATGGGCCGGGTAAGTAGGGCTATCAAATGAGGCCTTATTAGGCTGGAAGTCTATGAAGCTTTTGCCTGTCTACTGTTCGAGCGACTCGGCGTCCCATTTGAAAAGCAGGTCTTTTCCAGAAATTTCTAGTAGAAATTAAGTTCAGTTCCCGTGGGATCTAAATAGTGAAAAAAACTAAAGTTTTTCACCACCAGAACATGCCACATCATCCAAATAAATATGACCGTCGGATGCACCAGTACATTCATCATGGGCCATTGGATTTTAACATAACATGAGTAGACGGAAAGGCTGGAAGGCTCGCGAATACGTCAAGCCCACGTGTCCAAAATCCACCGCAGTACTCCCAATCGCGGTCTCACAGATTTTAGTGGAGAAAACACACACAAAACCCGTACTCCCAATCGCGTGCACAGCTGTCTCTTTCGTCTTCGCTCTCCGCCCCTATTGCCGTCGCCTCCACCGGCCACCGCCGCCGCCTCGCCTCCACTGTCCACCCTTCCACCACACCTCCCCATCCGCACCACCACCCACCACAGCGTTTTCCGCCGCCCCCGCTACGCTTCCCCATCGATCTGAATCACAGCTCCAAAGAACGGAGCAAGATCAAGGTCGACGATGGTGGATCGAGGTCAAAAAATCAAATCACAAATTCAAGCTGAAGGACTCCAACAAAACAGTGTCGCCATCTCTTCCTCCCTAACCCACTGAATCCCATCCCAGGTATCTGGTAAGTTACATACTCAATATATCCCATCCCCTCCTATCTATCTTCCCTAGAGGTGGCAACGGGGAATTCCCCGTCGGAGGATACATAACCAGACCCGCCCCCACGGAGGAGAATTTCCCCCGTCCCCGCCCCCGTGAAATGCAATGGGACAGCATCTTTCACCATCACCGCCTCCGTGTGGGTAATTTATCCACATGGAGGCTCCATCCCCGCTCTCAAGTTTTTCAGCATGTATATTTCATATATCAAATAATAATTCTCATACACAAGATTTATCACTAAAAACAGCAATTTCAGCACATCAGCAACAACATAATTATACAAGAATACAAGTTCACAAATTCATATCACAGGTTCACAAATGCACGTCGCAACAAGCTCACAAGCTCTTCATCACATGCAACAGGCAACGGCACTGCAGCAACAGCACTGCTGACCGTTCATCAGATGCAACAGGCAACAACACTACTAGCCGTTCATGTGGACCCGTCGTTTTCCCCTTTCTTTGCTGTCGTAGCCTTCACCTGCATCCACCATCCCAGCAGAGTAAAACAAATAAGCCCAAATGTGACGCATCGTAAATTTGGAACGAACAAAGGGAGGGCAGGAAAGAAGGTCGACTCCCGGTGCTAACTGCTGAGTCCTCGGCGCCGCCGAGAGAAAGGCCGTGGAGGCGAGGAGAGGCGGCGCTGGCAGCGCTCACAGGCGCGCGGGGTGGCCCTGCACGGGACGGTGCCGCTGGGAGCCTGGGACGGCGGCGTGGGGAACAGGGACAGAAGGGAGTGGAGTTGTATCCCCTGTGTGGGTGGTGCCTAGGGTTTTTCATTATATACTCTATGTTTTGGGCCTGGTTTCTATGGGCTAACTAGGCCAAATATACATAAAACGAAGCACACACATTGTTGCATCGGGCCTCCACGGAGGGCGGGGACGGGGGACGGTGAACCATACCCGCCCCCACCAGACCCGATGGAGCCTATTTTTCCTCCATTTAATCCTCCATGGAGGCATAATTCATACCACCCCCGGCTCCTAATAGCAGGATTCACCGCGGGGAATCGGGGGACGGGGACCCATTGCCATCCCTAGTCTTCCCACGCTGTGGCCTACTATTGTAGATCGGCTCAGATAGAAGAGACGACACCAGCAAATGGAGTGATGAAGAGCAAGGCACAAATTTCTGTATGGCTAGAATCATGATAAATATTACATTGATATTCACAATGATAGATGTGCCAGCACAATATAATGAACTGGTGTAGGATCACCCTCACAAAAAAAAAAGGTCTAGGATCACCATAGATCGTGAGTAATGGTGTGGAGGAAGCAAAGATAAATAGAATGCATTCGTTCTACTATTTATGCAAAACACTACATCTCATTCTTTCATATATAGGATTTTGAGGCTTTGAGTCTCATATCAAGGTTTTGTGGGATTTAAAGATGGGCCGAATTCTTCATTGTTTTTATTTTCTACGATAAGCATCGCATCTAGGTAATTATTTGTTGTGTAATGGTCAAGGCAAAATGCAAATGTTGTTATATAAGTTAAGTAGCAATGCATAACTACATAAATACATAATTATATACTTTAAGTAGTAATTCCATCTTCAAGGACATCTAGCAGTAAAATTCAATTCTATACTTTCCGGTGCTATTACACGAAGCAAGACTACTAACTGCAAGTGACATGCTATTATAGTCTCCTTTAGCCAATTTGTATAGCAAAACTAACAAGACGCTAAGCTTTCATTTAGAGATCGCCAAGCAATTATGTTTGCTCCTTACACGTGATAATAGGTATTAAAAACTTAGAGTCAATAAAATTTGAAAGGGCACCTGAGGTACTACAGTTTTTTACGAGACAATAAAAATAATTTTGCTGAAAAACTGAAGCACTTTCACTTGCATTGAATTAGAAAAAATATTAGATGACAACATTAGATGGAATCTAAAAAAGATATTTTCTTATTGAGTTTACCCTTAAAATATTTTTTTCTTCTAAGCTGTAACTCTTTTTTATAATCTACTTATGCTGTCTCCAGCTTAACATCTCATAAGAGAATCAGTATATTCATATCTTAGTTTTGTTTTTATTCCAAAACTATAACTTCAACTAGACCTAAATATTTTTTTCATTTCAGGGGGAAGAATCATGTTCATTGAATTGCTTCTGCCATCAACCACCAAGCTAGGGAGCTCAGAATGTTCTGACGAAGTTACTCCCAGAAGTAGAGCTTACCAACTTCAAAGGAAAGAAACATGAACTATATTTTCTGAAATTATTATTCAGGGCAGCACCATCACTTACAAGGATGAGAATAACCTGTAATCATTCGTTTGCTGGCTAGGAGAAACTATCTGAAGATTTATATTTTGTTGAAGTGAATTTCCTGCAATTAGTTGTCTCATACATATCTACTTTCTCAGGCCTAGAGAGAAGAGTTGAGAAAATCTCCTTGGCTTTGGGTTGAAGTGTTTTTGGTTGGCAACATTGCACAAACAGACAAACTACACTAATTGTGATGACTCTGGATTTTTTACTACACTTCATAACAAAATTGTGCATTTTTATTTTGGGATGTTTATTATGTTATCTTCTTGAGATACTCAGAGGTCAAATGATCTTTGAGCAATTTGTGTTGGTTTCAAATCATGGACTAGATTGCCGTTTAGTTTGCTACTGTGTATTGCGTTAGGTTTGACTATTGTATGCTTTATGCATCATATCGCTGAGCAAACATTCTCATCTTTTGACGGTATATGGTAAGAGTTTGATCCTGGATATAATATTTGAACCTTCAGTTCAAATATAGCTTGAGCTGAATCTATAGTTTTAACTAACAGTTTATTAAGTTGTATGATTTTGTAAAAGAAAAAAAAAATCAAAATTAAGTATGATTGAGCATTATGGGCACCCAAAGTCGTGGAACGCACGATTAAGTGGCTAGTTTCTTTGAAAATGTTTCATTCCAAAGTAGGCCAGAAATGGGAAATGCCAGCGCTTGAGTAATTGAGTTGTATACTTGTATCCTTATCGACATATCGTGCCCTATTCTTTCAGAAACGCTTAGTATCGGACGTATCATGAAAAATTGGATGAGCAAACTACTATCTCCCTATCCACTTCATACATCTATTATATAATATAATGATTTTAAAAATAATTTTTCTCCTAAACTACTTATCCAATCGATGATATGACACACCATTACATTTGTTATAATTAAATCTTTACAACAAGATATCACATCATTATATTCCGATAAAAGAAAAACATATGTTTCAATCCGTTAAAATTTAATGTTTCCGACGCAGTAACAATATGTTTCAACACATGTTTTCATTATGTTTCATAAAAAAAATTAAATGTTTCGATAACTGAATTTTTTGTTTCACCATATATATAACCTAATGTTTCATAAATGACCGAGAAAAAGTATATGATGTTTATGTCACTAGTACTCTCTCCTATCATTCGATTGGCTTTCTCCCCACACCACGCATGTATGCATGTATTTAGTGATCTTAAAAATACTTTTTCTTCTAAACTATTTATCCGATGAACGATTTGATCATACCATTGAATTTGTTATAATTAATTTTTTACAACAAGATATCAAATAATTATATTCTGGTGAAAGAAAAACATATGTTTCAAACAATAAAAACTTGATGTTTCATACGTGATAGCAATATGTTTCACCGTGTGTTCTAATTGTGTTTCACAAAATTTCTGTATGTTTCAGAGGCTGATTTTTTTGTTTCACCATGTATAACATAATGTTGCACCAACGGTCAACTGAAACATTTGACCATTCGATTTTTTTATACCATCGGACGTCCTATTTGTAGCTCTCTCCCTGTTCTTTGCCTAGCAATAAAACAAACAATTGACATAAAAAATAAATATAAACAGTCTGTCATAAATATGAGATACCCAGTACTTGTCTATTAAACTTGGCAGGGCCCACCATACATCAAGACCTATATGAATCAAACCTTAAACAAATGGTAAAAGTCCTGAGTAGATAAGTAAAGAATTCCATTTCAAAAAAGTCTTCCAAGTGTACTTGTGAGATATTATGATTATATAATGGTAACATCGGCTTCAACCAACAGGAGTATGGCTATTACCCGTCATGTCCGAACCCGTATAAAAATCTATCACACATATTTTTACCGCAATCTCGCATGTGTTGGTATCAATGTTCCCAATGCTTTACAAATATCGTAGTCGGGTACATCCCGTTGAAATAAACAAAACGAATACAACTCATATTGTTATGTTCCTCGCAAAAAAAAAGTTATATTGTTACGATGACAGCCTCAAAATTGACATCGGTGAGCAAACACAGAAGAACGTCATAAAAAATCGAAACATGATGAAGACATGATGCACAATATTTGGTAACAGAGTTTAATCACAGCCTATATCTTTCAGACATTGATTACGGATAATCTTTTCCGATCTATTAGAGTGTATTAGGGTATATACAACTATCGGCCGGCTAAGTTGTCGGCTAGTTATTCTCATATATGCTACTGCTAACATGTGGTTATTAAATGTGTCTTTCTTAATTTAAGAAATAGTTAGACACTAATTATGTATTAATTGTACACATTATATATTTAAGTTGAATTTTATAACCAACAATTAATTTATACCCATATTCGATATGAACATTTATAGTCACACAGTTAAATCCCAAACAAGTTAGTACGAGCCCGGAGCAAATAGCCATAGCTGGCTGTGCTGGCTGCGATCGAGATTGATCTGATGGTACGGGAGGAAGACGTGAAGAAATGGCGTGAACCAACCAACCTCCATGGACGCCCTGCCTAACAGCAATCCAGATCATGAGGTTAACTTTGCATGTATGCACGGCTTACAGTTTGGAGATTCCTTTCTATCTCCTCTGATTCTCTCTCCCTGACCCCCTGGCCTGATGGCTGATGTAACAAATGAATGATTACGCGTATCAAGTTATAGGACAGAGAAGAGATCCATGGACGTATTTGCAGTTAGCTAGGGTGGTGCATGCACGCCTATGCATATGCATATGCTAGCCATCACACATTCACACTAATTATGCAGTAAAACCTGAAAATTAAACATGTTCTTTTAGAATGGATTCTAATATCTCGAAAGAATGTTCTCTCGTGTAGTTTTTTCTTTCAATTTCAATACAAATAGTTATGAAAAAAATTCAAAAAGAATCGATCCACCAAAATCAAGTTGAATTTGACTTACACATTGAGAAAAAAAAATTAGGTGTGAACAATACGCTATTATACTATTTATACGTTTAATTCGCTTTTTTTATATCTCGTTGTGTGAGTTGAGTTTTGACTTAAAATTTTGTGTGTGTGTGTATATATATATATATATATATATATATATATATATATATATATATATGCTGTATGAGTATTGTAAAATTTCTCAAGAATTTTTATAACCGCTCTGATGGTTTTTAAATAAACAAGAAACAGGCTCCTACGAAAGTACGTTACAAATAATGCGGTCAAAGGTTGACCAATTTGCCTTCTTTTTCACACTCTTTTTAGTTGCATCCCTGTTCTGAATCGTACATCCCTGTTCTGAATCGTACATGGCCCCTAATCTGATAAAGTATACTTTTCTAAAGGGTGCGTTCTCATCGGACTATATATTATATATATTATGAAAGAAACTGAGTTTGTCACCATTATTTGTGGGCACAAAGGGTTAAAATATACTCCCTCCATTTTAGGTTATAAGATATTTTAACTTTGGTTGAAATCAAACTGCTTTAGTTTGACTGTGTTTATAGACAAATATAATAATATTTATATTATCAAATTAATTTTATTAAATTAATAATTAAATATATTTTTATAGTAAATTTATCTTGGATCGAAAATATTACTATTTTTTTATATAAATTTGATCAAAATTGATATAGCTTGACTTTGACCAAAGTCAAAATATCTTATAACAAGTTGGTTTGAAAAGTATTCTGAGAAATTTTAACAAAGAGTTATGTTATTTGTATCTGTTTGATTTCATTTCACTGATCATTTAATTTGGTGGTTCCCTTGATGATGGTCATGCACCATGCATGCATGCCGTCGCAAGCACATCCAGATATGCTTTTCTTCTGTTCCCTTTCAGCTTGCCAAAGCTTTTGACTTGGTTTTTGTTGGTCGGTGCGCTGTGTACCGCTCTTTTTCCTGTACGTGTTTAAGCATGTCATCTTCTGCCATATGCCACTCGTCGATGCAATACATGTTACTACTCTTTTCGGATGCAGAGACTACAGTACAGAATTAACCTGACCTACATGGTCAGGTTAATTAACAAACTAATGCCAAAGTTTAGAACAGATGAAATGGCGGATGATAGATATGATGATCTATTTCTTAGAAGGTTAATTAAATATTACATAATATAAAGCTAACCGATGCCTTGGGGAAAGAAAATTTTAAAGCAATGTTGATGAAGGAAAGCATTTGAAGAAATTTGTTTTTTTTTTGGAAACGTGGCATGAATAATTAGCTCAATAATCCTTAGTTTGGTTTTAGTTAAACCGAACGGTTAAGTAACTAACATACCTGGACATTGTTAACATGAACACGCCAGTTGGACGACGTACATATATATCAGGATTTCATGAGGTTTATTTAACAGGGGAACTTATCTTCTGATATTCATATACCATGTTCCTACACTTATGACTACATTTACACCTAGTAAAAATAACCACAATAGTTATGACTGTACTACTTACTCTTTATATTGGTTGAAATAAGAGAGGGAAAGAAAACTACTCACATACTGTATCATCTTTATTCTTGCTAGTTGGTTGTCACCTGAAGAAAGAAAATATATGCATGTGGACTATTTGCTGCACTCAAATTAATACAGTAAAAACTACATCGATCTAACCATCAACCAGACAGTAAAACTAATTAAACACTACAACACCCTTGATCTTATCCCAATTCCCTAATAGGTTCCTAACCTCTGATCACATAACCAACCATGCCGGCCACTTCTCTGTCTCTCTCCCTCGTGCAGGCTTCAGAAAAAGCTAGGCAGCAGCCGGTGTACAAGTGTACATCAAACCAACAGCAACTGGGGGGGCATGCATGGATGCCTTTCTGAAACCTGCATGATCATGTACCACTTAAACTGTCAGTGTGTTGCAGATTTTGGTTTGCTTTGGAGAGAGGAGGGTCAGTGGGGCCCTCCTGGGAGGAATCCCAGCAACAAACCACTCTTCTGATGAAAGGCCAGCCAGCTGAGTGATCTGCATTGCAGCTAGTACTACAAGCGAGCATTTTGTACAAGTGTCATTTTCTCTCTGCCAATCCACAAGAAACCAACTGCTTTCTCCTACCCAATATCACCCTTGCCCCTTTTATATACTCTTCCTCTCATCACCTTCTCGATCGGCCTCTCTCCTCTCCTCTCATCAGCTCACACCCCCAACCAACAAACCTAGTTAATTTAGCTCTAGTTGGTTCATCCCTGCTGCACTGCGAGCTCAAGTAATCGATCTGAGCTCTGAAGAAAAAGGTCTGTTTCAAATTGAACCCTTTCATCTCATCTTCTCATTACTGTTTGATTCATTAATTCTAGTAATTTAGAGTTTAAACCATCGCTTTTCTTTTTGTGTGTGTTCTTGCATATGCTTGGACGATTTTGAGTTTGTTCTTTAAATTTGGGCTTGAACATAGGTTGATTAAGCGAGAAGAGTTTCATGGTTTGGATTCTTGATTTGTTGCAGGTGGTAGAGTGCGAGGAAGATGTATCACCCGCAGTGCGAGCTCCTGATGCCGCTTGAGAGCCTGGAGATGGACGTCGGCCAGTCGCACCTCGCCGCCGCCGTCGCAGCAGCCATGCCGGGGGAGCTCAACTTCCACCTCCTCCACTCGCTCGACGCCGCCGCGGCGGCTGCCTCCTCCACCGCCGCCTCGGCCTCCTCCCAGCCCACCGTCGACTACTTCTTCGGCGGCGCCGACCAGCAGCCGCCGCCGCCGGCGGCGATGCAGTACGACCAGCTGGCGGCGCCGCACCACCACCAGACGGTGGCCATGCTGCGCGACTACTACGGCGGCCACTACCCGCCGGCGGCGGCGGCGGCGGCGGCCACCGAGGCGTACTTCCGCGGCGGGCCAAGGACGGCCGGGTCGTCGTCGCTCGTGTTCGGCCCGGCCGACGACGAGTCGGCCTTCATGGTCGGACCCTTCGAGAGCTCCCCGACGCCGCGGTCCGGCGGCGGCAGGAAGCGTAGCCGCGCCACCGCCGGCTTCCACGGCGGCGGGCCGGCCAACGGCGTCGAGAAGAAGGAGAAGCAGCGCCGCCTGCGGCTCACCGAGAAGTACAACGCCCTCATGCTCCTCATCCCCAACCGCACCAAGGTATATCACATGCCCTAGCTACCATCGTCTTCGGTAGTTCGATCTCTTCTTGTGTTCATCCATGGATCGATCGATGATGATTTTGTCTTTCTTTTTCAGGAGGATAGAGCGACGGTGATCTCAGACGCGATCGAGTACATCCAGGAGCTAGGGAGGACGGTGGAGGAGCTGACGCTGCTGGTGGAGAAGAAGCGGCGGCGGAGGGAGATGCAGGGGGACGTGGTGGACGCGGCGACGTCGTCGGTGGTGGCGGGGATGGATCAGGCGGCGGAGAGCTCGGAGGGCGAGGTGATGGCGGCGGCGGCGATGGGCGCGGTGGCACCGCCGCCGCGGCAGGCGCCGATCCGGAGCACGTACATCCAGCGGCGGAGCAAGGAGACGTTCGTGGACGTGCGGATCGTGGAGGACGACGTGAACATCAAGCTCACCAAGCGCCGCCGCGACGGCTGTCTCGCCGCCGCGTCGCGCGCGCTGGACGACCTCCGCCTCGACCTCGTCCACCTCTCCGGCGGCAAGATCGGCGACTGCCACATCTACATGTTCAACACCAAGGTCACAACAACCAACTAAAAATATCCCCGCGTTTATCTACAAAACTAACCAATCTCATAATAGTAATTAATTCTAGAACAATTTTATCGTGTTGTGATCAACATAAACCTATATATGCAAATAAATTGCTGCTAGTTAATCTCATCATTGATTTATTATTGTTTATTTGGATGCGATGCATGCAGATTCATTCGGGATCTCCAGTGTTTGCAAGTGCAGTGGCCAGCAGGCTGATTGAAGTGGTGGATGAGTACTAACTAGCTCGAGCTAGCTAATTAGCCGACCGACCGATCGATATGATGAAAGTTTCTATGTTGCTAGCTAGCTAGGGTTCTTGGATGCATGAGTACTGAGTAGCTCTTTAATTAATTTCCTTTTAATTTTAGACTGTTTAATTTGGATTGGTAAAGACTCGTGTTAGCTTTTGGGAGATCTTTGGTATGTCATGGTTTGCATGTATTATTTTGGTCTACTTGGATAAATAATTGATGCTCTTTGAGACGTTAATTAATAACATGTAAATATTGGATTATAGTACTTCCTGACTTCCAGTAATATATTATTCATGCATGGGGTGAGTAGGTTGCACTTGCAGTAAGTAGCTAGACCTGACCGGTATAGATGTGGATGCATGAAATTGGGTTAGGTGAGTCCTTGTTCAGCTGTGAGTAGCTTTTCGTTATGATTTAATTGGGTGTTGTTTGTTATCTTAATTTCCTCCAAAGTTTAGTTACTATGTTATCTTTAGTTATTAATAATTAATTCTAAAATTTAACTCATACTTGGATCTGCTAGTAGTTTAGGGTTAGGTTGGTACATATATTAATATACTGTTAGTAATAGCATAAATATATATGTTTTTACAACTTACAAGTGTTTCTTCTTGTTAGGGCATCTCCCAATGGCTCTTCTCAATTAGCTCTGAATTAAACACATAACTGCATGCCAATGCCATATATGGATTCGTTCAGTACACTGGGCGTTGGCTGTTCACTGCAGGCATGCAGGCTAGCTTTTCTTTTTTTCCCCTGCAGCTAGCCTGCAAAAGTTTGCTTGACTTGGTCTTGGTCGGTACAGTACTAGTACTGATCGTCTGTTAAGTCGCTCGATACATGCATGGATGCGTTTTGTTATATACACCATTCTCTGTTTAATTCAGATGAAGATTAGTATATATTCTATCTTGCGTGCAATCGCATTACACTATTTTATTTTGCACAATAAAATAATTTGCTGACAGCTAGGTGCAGATTCATCTTCAGTAGACGTACATTTAAACACAGCGAATACACAAATCGGCGGTCTACCGGCGGTCTACCCGGCAGATACAAAAGTAATTAGCACCGATTAACTCAGCTGGTATAATGTCGTTTGTGGTGGATCGAATCTGCTCACACGGATTAAATCCCAAATTTAGCGCACAGGTACTCATATTGACGGCTAGTTAGTCTTTAAGTGATAAGAAACATATATACCCGTCGATAGCAAGTTGTCAGTGTTGACTCTATTAATTTTAGGATATACCGACATAATCATCGGAGTGCTTATATGTAGGATGTGTGACTACCTTCGTAGGGGTGAGTGCTCGCCCGTATATATGAGCATCTGCATTGTATTTTGAAAAAGAAAAAGTAATTAACGGGAAACATATATATAGCTCTATACTTTCAGGTCTTGTTTGGCATAATTACAAATCCCATATCAATGCAACTGAAGTTTGTAAATTAAATTACAGTAGTCTAAAATCTATATATTTAAAGAAATAGGAACAACATAATTCATCAAAAAATTATCAATTAATTTAATTCTAATTTTATATTCATGGATAATTGGAGATATGATGATAAATGTGCTTAAAAAATTTTGATCTTGAGATTTGCCAAATAGGACCTAATCAACATCCTTGAAATACAATGAAAAAAAAGGATTTGCCCCTAAAAAAGAGAACTTTGTGCGATGTATAACTTAGTTAGATTACCAGGGTGGCACCTCTTCTCGCCCACATCCCCTCAACCCTAGTCATTTCCCGTCCTTCACCCTATTTTACCTTCCTCCTTCTTCCTTCTTTTTTTTTTTCCTCAAGATCTAAATCCAGATCTTATTTTTCCTTGCAATAACCGGCCAAAAGCTGGTGGTGCGACGTTGCCTAGTGGCTGGAGGGTGCTCGCAAGTAGTGTGAGGAGCGACGCCCGATGGCTAGATCAGCCAAGCTAGCAGTACCGACAACGAGGACGGTGGGTTGATCTACTTGCAAGCCTGGTGGTGGCACGGTTCGCTTGCTTTCGCTAGTTCGGTGGCACAGGAGTACGAGGCGGAGGTGATGTGTCTTGGCGGTGACCAATAGTGGCATCGAGCGCATGGTTTGGTAGTGACGACGGACGACGAACAAGACTACTGGTGATGGGCAACTGCTGAGGCTAGACCTCCGCCCTGCGTCAGTGATCAGCTGGTGGACATGGTGGTGACGACATGCAGTGACCGGTTCGGGCGGTGTTGGACAGTAGCAGGGGCCAAGCCTCTCTTCTCCTCGCTCCGCCACCGGTGACGACAACGTTTAGTTTGCGGAGAATGGTGGTGGCGCAGTTTAGTGGGTTCGCGACGCACTAGGGGCATTCGGATTGCGCCACGGCGTCAAGAGATCCGTTGTGGTAGGGATGGTGTAGCAACGTGCAACGTGGACAAATTCCGCTTCTCCCCTCTCGTGCTACGACGGACAAGAAAAATTCGTCAATGGAGAATGAAACTTAGTTTTCTAGCTCTTCCTTTTGTGTTTATGTGTTCTCCTCAGTATTGAGGTTTAGAGCCCAAGAACTCGTGTATTTTTTTTGGCTGTGTACACCAACTTAACACTTCCATCAGTAATTCTAACATTATGCTCAATTTCTATATATAATTCATTAGCTGATATTGGTTACTAGTTATTCTCACAGGCTGTAGTGTAGGCATTTTTTTAAGTTATTTATTTGCTTGGCATAAATTCGTTAGCAAGGCACGGAATATATATCATCTTAGTACCATTTAGATATACACCATCTATGTTGTTTTTCTTAGATAATGGAATATTTCAGTACTCAATAAAACCATCCAGGCTTGGCATCGAGGACGATGTACACAACCAACAACGAAAAAGCAAAAGAAAGATAAAAGAAAACCTAGACATCATGTTCTTGCGGCATTTTGCTCTATTACAATCATGAAGAGTTCCTTCAAAAAAAAAATCATGAAGAGAAGGCTAGAAATGCAGGTACACTCCAAAACAACATCTTCGAGAAGTGATGGTCATTTGTCTCTGTCGATGTCATCTAGCCAACCTAAAAAGGATAGTGCTGGATTTTCCATCTGTGTTGTTGGATATATCTTAAATGCTTATTAAGCAAATTATATCCATGTGATTAAGGAAAACTGAAGTCATTTTTGGTGGTCTAGCTAGCTTCTCGTACGATTGTTATGACTGGGCCGAATGGCCCGTGGGCTTTTTACATTCGAATTTATACGACAACAAAAATCCTCGGAAGAAAACGAGCTGGGACAGGAAAGGCCACTCTTGAAAGCCATAAGTTAGCCCGATCCGACTTGACGTGGCCTAATCCTGAATCCTCTGGTTTTCCATTATGACCATCACAGACATACAAAAGTGATAATGCTTAGATATATGAACGTGGAAATACTCTCTCATGGACAAGATTTTCCGATCACTAGAAACTAATTATCGGTTTAGTGTAATTGGCGAGGAAGTCTTATCCAAAGGGATAAGCATGATACACCAAGTCAAAACCGTGGATTTATTTCTTTATTCTTTTATCTTGGAAACATAGTATAAACGCACGCGCGTCTCCATAAGGCTGAAACAACATGTATCTTTATATCGACGATGTTACTATGCTTCGCTGTCGGATTAGTATGTTGCACTGAAAGAATAATTAGTGAACACCTACATTAAAACTGCATTTGGAACAACTACCTATAGCTGCAAAAGCTGCAGCTAAAGTACTCAGCAAGCAAAATTCTGCTTCCAGTGCTACAGCACTGTGACTGTGCAGCCACAGCCCAACTAAACTGAAGAGTACCTAAGTCTAAAGTAAAGGGAAGTAGACTCCACCGTCAATAATTTTTTAACCAGCTGACTAGCTGAGCGGCCACTCGCTCATTTGTGCAACAACCAACGAGACACAAGCCTCAACAATTTCGCAGCGGTACGAACCAAGGAGGCAAGGACTTAAATTCGTGACTGATACCTACACGAAAGCAGAAAGCTTAATTTAGTATCCTTGACCATACCTAACCAACCAAAATGCAGAGAGAGAAATTCAGGTCAGATCCATATGCCTTCCTATGGAGGAGAGCTGCCAAACTATATTGAGTTTTTTTTTCTTTTTTGAAACTCAAAATTTATTGAGGTTGGACTGCTTGCAAGTTGCAATTGCATGGAGGATGGAGCGGCCCGTGCCCATACCGTTCGGCAAGCCACTGGGATTGGTTGGTCTGGTCAGCAAGCAGAGCACCGCGTCCTTTTTTCCTCTTTTTTAATACCTTATTCGTTTCAAAATATATAATAACTATCCAAATTTATAATAATAATATATATTTTATTTTAAAAAATTATATATTTTAAAACGAAGGTAGGAGAGGATGGAGTTGAAGAGCATAGCTCGATGATGCCTTGAAGGCGATAGAGTGGGGGGTTTTGTCATTTTCAAGATGTTCTAACTAAGTATTTGTCACTGACATGTGGACCCTAATGTGTCTATGATATATATAGGTACAGTGATAAATTCTTAAGTGTCACTGGTAAGAGTAGCAAATACTATATGTTTAGTTTACACTAAAATTGAAAATTTGGTTGAAATTGAAACGATGTGACGAAAAAGTTGAAAGTTTGTGTGTGTAGGAAAGTTTTGATATGATGAAAAAATTGGTATTTTGAGAAAAAAAACTTGGAAACTAATCAAGGGCTTAATTATTCGAGAGAGTGTGCGGCGTGCGACTCCGATTCCACGCGTCCCATTCCTAGCGCGCGTAAACCGGTGCGTGGGTCCCAACTCCGGCCGTCTTCCGCCGTTGGATCCCATCCTACGGCCCAGCCACCCACCTTAGGTGCAAGTACTAGCACCCGCGCTGCCTCTGCCTCCCTCCTATATAAAGGGGAGAGAAGCCGCCGACGACCCTGCGGCGAACAAACCGGGCCGGATCTCTCCTCACTCCTCCGCCACCTCAAAGCTCTCCGTTCAAACCGTCCCGCGCCGCCGCGGCCGCTGCAACCCGCGCGCGCGGACTCCTGCCTCTCGGTTTGTTCCTCTTTGCTTCTTCGGTTAGATCGATAGATCCAGCTATAGTAGTAGTTCAGCTCCGGTAGATTTAGATTGGAGTTTTTTTTAATGTTTTTTTTAATTGTTATTATTATCTGCAAAGTTCTTGGGTTGCGCGCGTGCCCTGCGGCCGTTCTTGTTGCTATCGATCTTACTATGAACTAAGGGGGAAGGATTAGCGTTTATTTTCCCCGTCCTAGATAAGTGTGGTAGCTAGGTGAGTATGCGGTTTGCAACAATTAATTGGGGGGAGTGATTTTACGAAAACTGTCGCTTGAGGAGGTGTGTCATATTTTTAGTTAGTGTTAATTTGTGGTATTTTTCTCTCTAGTATGGAGGTGACATAAGATGCTGGAACACAAATTTCTTTTTTTTTAAGGAAAAATGTGGCAGTACATCATCAGGAATAGTAAAAATTCTCTGAACTGGGTCAGTAACAGCTCAACTGTAGCTTTTGGTGCGAATAATTTAGCGAATCGAATTTTTTTTCTTCGAATCTTGTGCTGTACTCCTGTTAAGAACAAAGCTGCTGCGTGTCGATCTATATGCTTTTGCGATGTGGGGATGCTGAGTTCGCATGTTGCAACAGTTGGGGGTTGAGTGCGGTGGTCATTCTTTTGTTCCTGGAACCTTTGGCAATCGGCATCTTGCCCGACATGGACTCATGTTTTTCAGGCCAAGTCCAGGACTTCAGCAGGATTTGTCTGATGCCCAGTTGCCTACTTCCCACTTGGGCACTGTCTATGTCATGGAAATATATACTTCCATTGCTGCTACCTGACACTAATGAGCAATTCACTAGATTACCAACTGTTATTACTTATTAGTAGAATTTAAGAAACTCATTACTACTTGTTAAAACGAAGTTTTCAGCTGTATTTTAAGGTTGTGTAGTTGGAATCATTTGGGATGTTCTTTTCTTAAGTTGAACTTATGGGATCTGAACAATTTTGCTTGATGCAAATTTAAGTTCTGAGATATGCAAACCATGTGCTGCTTTGTGCAGGTCGAAGGAGATGGCTGAGGTTGACACCTTCCTCTTCACTTCCGAGTCCGTCAATGAGGGACACCCTGACAAGCTCTGCGACCAGATATCCGATGCGGTGCTTGATGCGTGCCTTGCTGAAGACCCTGAAAGCAAGGTTGCCTGTGAGACCTGCACCAAGACCAACATGGTCATGGTGTTTGGTGAGATCACTACCAAGGCCAATGTTGACTATGAGAAGATCGTCAGGGATACTTGCCGCGGCATCGGCTTTGTGTCCAATGATGTAGGCCTTGATGCTGAACACTGTAAGGTGCTTGTCAACATTGAGCAGCAATCCCCTGACATCGCACAGGGTGTCCATGGGCACTTCACCAAGCGCCCAGAGGAGATTGGTGCCGGTGACCAGGGGCATATGTTTGGATATGCAACCGATGAGACCCCTGAATTGATGCCACTCAGCCATGTTCTTGCTACCAAGCTCGGTGCCCGTCTCACCGAGGTCCGCAAGAACGGGGCATGCGCATGGCTGAGGCCTGATGGGAAGACGCAAGTGACAGTGGAGTACCAGAACGACAATGGCGCCATGGTCCCTCTCCGCGTCCACACCGTGCTCATCTCCACCCAGCACGATGAGACCGTGACCAACGACGAAATCGCGGCTGACCTGAAGGAGCATGTCATCAAGCCTGTCATCCCAGAGCAGTACCTTGATGAGAAGACCATCTTCCATCTCAACCCGTCAGGTCGCTTCGTCATCGGTGGACCTCATGGAGATGCAGGTCTCACCGGGCGCAAGATCATCATCGACACCTACGGTGGCTGGGGAGCACACGGTGGTGGCGCGTTCTCCGGCAAGGACCCGACCAAGGTTGACCGGAGCGGAGCCTACATTGCAAGGCAGGCGGCCAAGAGCATCGTTGCCAATGGCCTCGCTCGCCGCTGCATTGTCCAGGTGTCGTATGCCATTGGCGTGCCGGAACCGCTCTCGGTGTTCGTCGACACTTACGGCACGGGCAAGATCCCTGACAGGGAGATCCTCAGGATTGTCACGGAGAACTTCGATTTCAGGCCAGGCATGATCATCATCAACCTCGACCTGATGAGGGGTGGCAATGGCCGCTACCTGAAGACGGCGGCTTACGGGCACTTCGGGAGGGAGGACCCTGACTTCACCTGGGAGGTGGTGAAACCCCTCAAGTGGGAGGAGCCTTCTGCATAAACAAACACTTGCAGCCTCTAAAACTGTTTTGGAAATGTTTCCATTGATTTTGGAGATGTTTTTATCTACACTTCAGCCTCTGAACTTAATCAGACCGTCACTACATGTATCTATTTTCACTGCCTTAGTAGCAGGCAGGTATGTTTAAGGTCTTATGCTGCTTAGTGTTCTTGTGTTAAAGAAGCTTGTGTGGTGAGTGGTGGAGGGGATGATGAAACTATAAAGAAACTGAAGCCTCTCATTGGTCCTTGTCTTGTGCGCAGTGCACTTCTGTCCAAATCTGGTGTCTTGCTTGATCTCTGAATAATTAAGCAAGCTCTCTTGCATATGCTATTTTGTCAAGACGCTTTCGCGTACAGATGGAATTAGGCCTCGTTGGATTATGCTTATGCTTAGCCAAAATTTGAATTTTAGAAGTAAAATTTGAATTTAATTTTTCTCCCATCGTTGTTTATTTTACAGTATTTGCTTTTGAGTTGCTAAGGACATGCATGTAAAGGTTTTACTCACAAATTATCTTTTGTTTGCTAATAAGCGATTCAAATAAGCATATGAACAAGTGAAACAATAGGCTGAAAAACTTGTACCATACCGTGTTGCAAAACAAATATATTACCAAAATTTGTTGTGACAATAATTTTCTAAAAAGATAAGCTGGACAACTGGATCTGATTTTTACAAAGCCTCCATGACCTCCCATAAAAAAACCAAAGCAATTTTAACATCTGGCATATCACCAACCAGAGATCCTCGACTTTAATTACAGCTAGATCCAAACCAAAGCTATTTTACTCTCTGTGATAGTGCTATACTGCATTCTACTCCCTCCTTCCCATAATATAATGGATTTTGAGTTTTTGTTTGCACTGTTTGACCATTCCTCTTATTAAAAAAATTTGGAATTATTTTTTTTGACTTATTTTATTATCCAAAGTATTTTAAGCACAACTTTTCGTTTTTTATATTTGCACAAATTTTTTAAATAAGACGAGTGATCAAACAGTACAAGTAGAAACTCAAAATTCCTTATATTATGAGACGGATGGAGTATTATTAAAGAGCATGGAAGCACTGTCACTCTGTCAGCTGCTCTGCTCACGGTAAAACCATTCAGATAGTACTGCATTCTATCAAGGTCAGGATGCCTGTCCAATGGAATTTCTAGATATGCAAGTTTCGAATTCTAAATGTTGTACAGTAAAGTAGTAAACAAATATAGTTATTCCGTGAAAAGATAAATCTATGTTACAAGAATATACAGACTCGAAGCAAAACATCTCCATGCTGCATGATACAGCTGAACTGTATTTGCAGATGCTTGGCAGTCAATCTACCATATCACTTGGGGCCTGAACGCAAAGAATTCCAGCGGAAAGGACCTCTCATACCTCCAATGTGGGGTGGCCCCTGCATGATCAACCCTACACAGACACAGACAGCAGCAATGGCGACCAAGGAGAGTACTGCTGGCCTGGTTGACAGAAACCTGTTCAAATGATGCCGGTAAGCGAGTTCTGGGAGACACTGCCTGCAGCTCAGTGGTGGCTTTGTGCTGATCTGTTGGCCCTTCTCCACATCAAATGCGGTTTGATCTGTAGTCTTCGATTGGCTCGCGTGCTTTTCGGTGAAGTCGGTGGTGGATGTGGTGCTGGATATGGTGACAGACACATGAGCTTTGGGTAACCTGCTGTCAATCTTGTTCTGGACCATCTCGATGTAGGATTCGTGGCCTCTCTTCCGAGCGTAATCCTCCGGAGTCAATCCAGTAGCATCGCGAGCATTCTTCCATGCTTTGATTCCCAGCTGTAACAGTTATGCAGAAATAAGGAATAACCACAGTTCATATTTTCAACGTAGGCAGTAATTTAAATGTGATGGATGGAAGTGCCGATTTTAACCTTCAGGACATGATAACTCCATAAACCAAGTTTTGAAGATATTCCTTTTATTTTTTTTCTCTTTTTCGGGGGTAAAAAGTGAATTTCTGTTGGATGTGGTAGTGGACCCATCTCAGGAAAAAAGTACTAGGTTGTTGCACCAAATGTTCAAAGATGTATGTTACCTTGAACATAGTTGTGCACCATGCATTTGATAGATTAAGGGAAGATAAGAAACAGAAATGCATGTGTCGATTCTGTAAAATCACAGGTGTTTAGAGTAAGTACCTGCTGAGGATCATCAGTTAAAGCATCTAAAACACCAGCAGTATCACTGTATGTGGCTGCAATATGAAGAGGTGTAATATCTGATGGACCAGCTATGTCAGGTGTAAACAAGAACTGAGCTGGAGCAGCACTTTCAGTTCCGTCCATTGGAGCAGAAGATGTTGTGTATGTCAACAGAAAGTCAATTAAAGGCTTCGACCGTTTGTTGACAGCCACAAATACTAAATCTTGTTTCAGGACAAATTCAACTGTTGATTGGACATCCAGATCAACACCACCCTGAAACAAGGTGTCCAGAAGCTTCTTTATAACAGCACAAAATTCCCGATCAACTGCAAAGGACAGCAACCATCTAAATCTTGCAGCAGGAAAGCCCTCAGTACAATCTTTTGGAGTCTCAGATGTAGCTCGTATGTGGCTCCTTTGAAGAAACCAACCAAATTCGTGTAAAAAATTTAAGGCTCGATCTCGAGAAGCCAACAAATCGTTTTTCTCTACCAAGGTGTCATCAAATGAAACCAGATTCAGTAAATGTTCCAGTGTTCGAATTTCAGAACATACATCTTCTTCAGCAACAACAAAGGGAAATGAAAGGCTGCTTTGATCAAGATCTTCAACCTGGAAAAGAAAACAAGAATTCTGCAATGTAAGAAGGGGAAAATGAGAGCATACATAACGACATAAAAATTGTACCTCTATGAATCCTCTTCCACTAGTACTAGGAAAGGAGCAAGAGAAGGTCAGACACTGAGGGCCTCGCTGCATTTTAGTATCATCAAGTAGCTTTTCTGTTGCTTCTTGGATTAGATACTTCCCACCAAAAATGCAAAGTAATCTGAATACAAACATTCTATTAATAAATACGACAGCTCGGTCAGTGGAGATGTTCAATGTCACGAAGTACCTACTTTGTGGTTGGTTGAGCTATGTTGAGACCTTTCACTGAGAAGTTTGCTGTTGAAGAACAAGCAACTGCAATAGGGGTTATAAACAATATCTGATGCTTGTTGCCTATTGCAGGCTGCCAGGGAGACGCTAACATAAGATTACCTGCAAGACGAGGGAAACAGCAAAATATGAGAAACTGGTGCTCAAGTAGATGAATACAAAATTTATAAGGAACAAGGATGAATGACCAGCAAAATAATGACCAGAAATAAGGTGAACAAACCGTTGCAACTCAATGTCAGGTAGTCCTGCACCCTTGCATACATCCATCCTGTTCTCCACAAGGTATCAGTGGACAAGCTAATTAGCTTCTGTATCCAGTGAGCTGGGTCGGCAGCAAGCTTTTGACAAATTCAGCAAAGAAAATTAGCAGTAAGTAAGCAGTTTGCTTCTTTATCCAAGGTTTATAATTCAAATTTATATGCTGTTTATCCATTTTAGTAGCTGAAGCTGATAAAAGCAAGTTAGCTGGTAAATCATACTTCCTCCGTTTCATATTATAAGACTTTCTAGTATTTTCCACATTCATATATATGTTAATGAATCTAGATATATATGCGTTCCTAGATTCATTAACATCTATATGAATGTGGGCAATGCTAGAAAGTCTTATAATCTGAAACGGAGATGGTAGTAGAGAAGAGATATACATATCGATACAACTGTTTGCGTAGCGCAACAATACCTTATCCCACATCCAATTAGGGAGGCGCATGTAAATAGTTAGGATGATACAGCCAGGCCTGATATAGCTCTCTATATCACTTGGGCAATTCGACAACCAGCTGAGGATCTGTAAATAAAATAATTTGATGAGAGAGTTAAGCTGTTAGAGTAACTCAATATATTCTCAACAACAAAGCTGTGAACAGAAACATTTAGTACAGTTTGAAGTATGGGTTGTAACCTGAGCACGTAAATCAGAAGGAAAATCATTTGGCTCTTTCCCGAAGAGTTTAAACACAATTTTATCTGTTCGATTCTGCAAATGTTGTGAATGTCAGAGAAACCAGACAAACTCTAAATTGTACATCAGAAAGACATCTAAAAATCAAAGTAACTGACCTCATCTCCTTCCACATAAGCATCATTTAAATCAAAATTTTGCACACGCCTTTCCACTGTAGGTTCTTCTGGTAACAAATGTGAAACACAGTTTATTTGAAAGTGTGGTATTCATTAGCCTTCGCGTAACAGCAGCAGATAATCAAGTTGTTTTTTACCTGCAGTGGATTCAGTGCCTACAGGAATATGTGGTCTTGAGTCATGTAGACTATTGCCTTTTGCAACATAATTACCAGTATGTGATGCTATTGCAGCAGAATTTGCATTCTTTAGCATATCTTGATTTCTTTGTGTACCAGCAAGAGCAGCAAGATTCTTCACAAGATTGGTCAAATAGTTAGGACCATTGATTTGCTCAGATGGACCACTAGCTGCCACCAAAATAATAACAGTTGCATGACTATGGCTTGATCACATATGAAGTAATATATAGCTGCATCTAAAACTGTTTCATAGAATTCTAAAAACTTACAATCTAGGCCAGAAAGTTGTTTCAACAACAGGAGTAATGTGTTGCTCAAAGAATGATTTTCATGCAAGGAATTCACATCTACACCAGCCTGCACTTGTACTTTCCTCCTCCTTCTGTTATGTTGTGCTAGCCGTGAGCGACAGCTCTTCTTTCCTTCATCAAATTCTTGAAGAAAGTGAAACCTGACAAGGCATGTCAAATAATTACCATAAAACTACAAAAAAAGACACACAAGTAATCTTCACATCATTTTTGTTCATTGATACCCGCATAATTGGATGTATCATTCATAAGCCCCTGATATGTCAACCACATTAAATTTTCTTCACTATTTATCATAGTTTCTTGCAGGAACCATGTGTATATCAGACCAGGGTTATCCACAAATTGCACGCTAGTCTAGCATGTAAGCATCAATTTAACATCAAGTTAACACATAGTAATTAATTGCTTGGAACTGGAAAATATGGCCCGCATACAGTATTTGGGTGGAGGGCTTTATGTACACCATTTCAACTTAGGATGGCAATGAACGAAAGTGCAGTAGAGGGGCCAAAGTGAAACATGTGATTAATGTGGTGTTTATATATTTTCCCTCTTGTTTCAGTTCATGAGTTCTGACTACCTAAAAGATATGGACTTTTTTCTAATTATGTGAACAATCTGAATTTAGTTATACTCATAAATCCTCGTTTCATACACACCTTGAATCCATTATCTGCTTCAGTTTAGAACTATGGTGTTTTTTAGACTTAACAATTTAAGAGTGTGAGAACTTTGGATCAATGCATACAGAAACTTTCTTGTCAAATCAACTGAACATAAACTACAAGTGAAACTTTAGCTGTTGATTTGATAGAGAATTGATCGTGACTAACTTTCCGCAATTGTTGATCATTAATTAAAATTGTCACTTAAACTACCATTCAAACATTGAACAACCTTTTCTGAACCTATCTGTTGCTTCTAAAAAATATATATCATTCCTCAATTAGAAGTAAAGTTTTTTTTTAGCATTTATTCAGTCTCCAAATCACAATTTTGAGTACCAATTTCTGTTGTGATATGTTTCTCAAGACTGATAAAAGAATAAAATCAGTATCTTTTGAAGAAAATCTCTTTTTTTTTTTTTGTATTTTTGTCATACAGCCAGTCTATATATTGAGGTACTGTTGATCAAAGTAAACGTTTGGTTACAGGATGTAACATGTTTTTTTATTGGCGATATAACAAACGTAGAAAGATGTTTATAGCCTATCTATATTCAAGGTTTTATGACTTATTGACAACATTACCTTCACTTGTTTTTTTTCTCCCTCTCCCATAGAGTAAAATTCTAATCAGAGAAGAGTCCCAGTTGAAGGCATTTTGAAGTAGATATAATAGGACTATGTCACAAGCATAAATGCACTAAACTGAAAAATGCACAAAGGTACATGTAGCATGACCAACTTGTTAATTTGACAAGGAGATCACCGACTAACCTGCTGCACTGTTGACAGAACCGGTGTTCTACGTTTTTTATACGAACCACTCCCGACTTGGTATGCACCTCACAGACCTTATGCCTCTTGTTGTAATCCCTGGCACTGCTGAGATTGACCGTGCAGCCGTCGACTTGGCAACACGGACCGCTACTAGAACAGGTGCCTTGCCTAGGCATCTCGTCCTCACTGCTCCTTCCTCTCTGACCAGAAATCTGGCCATCGTCCCCATTCGTGGTTGCTGCATTGATGCACTCCTCGCCGTCATCGTCCTCTGGTGAGACTCTTCTCCTCTTATCAACCACACCAAAATCGATCTCCCCCTCGGCTCGGCCCAATTCCCTCCTGCTGCACTTGGATGGAGAAGCGTTGGATGGTGTGGCCAAGAACAGGTTTGAATCCCATCTCCAATCGTTCAAATCCCACTCCAGGCCCTTCTTCTTGAGCCCACTCGACATTCCTGCTACATCAATTTAGGATCCTCCCTTTGTGTGCTTCGTCAAGAATCTCTTCCCCTCTATTGAACCTCCTGTTCTTGGTACAGTAACGGCCTCAGATTCACCTGCATCCCCAGCTACAAGTGCATCAGGCACACATGATTAATCACACACGCCACTGTGCAGCCTATCTTGATCTTGCAATCAATCCTGAAATAACCAGAAAAGATAATCAACAACTTGGAACCAATCATGAAATGGCCCAAAAATAAGAAGAAGAAAGAAAGAAGGAAAATCATGAACTTGGAACCAACCCTGAAATGACAAAAAAAAAAGAGAGAAGAAAATCAACAGCTTGGAACCAATCCTGAAATGACCAGAAGAAGGGAAAAAAGGGAAAAAAAAGATAACTTGGGACAAATCCTGAAATGGTCAGAAAAAAGAAAAAGGAAATCAAGAACCAAAGAATCCGTTGCATACGATGCGAACCACTAGCTGATGGGAAAGCTTGGAAACATACCGAAAGAAAAGATATTTCTGCAAAGATAAGGATGGACAAGATCGCGCAAAGTTACTCACCGACGACAGGCAGAGAGAGAATCAAGAAACCGAGCAGGGTAGAGTAGCTTCTCTCACAAGCAGTCTTGGGGGAGTTGGAGAAGGGAGGAGGAGGCGTAGGGCGGCGCGTGTCCCGTGGGAGTGAGGGGGGGAGGGGAACGCGGGGCGAAGTATCCTGGGGGAGGCAGGATCTGGACTCCTCCCTCCCTCGCCCAATCTTGTGCAATGGGCAGCATATTCACATCGTCTTCATTGGCGGCTTCACCTTCACTAGGACATGGACAGCGACGGCAGGGAGGGGGAGGCACGGCATGGGAGGAGCAGGAGCGCTGCTTTGTTTGTCGTCGTCGCTCGCGTCTCCTCTCCTGCTGCACCCCTGCACAGCAGCGTCGACTCGAGGTCATCGTCGTCGCTTCGCCTGTGTTTACCACGACCTGGTCCAAAGACACGATGCTCTAGCTCTACTCGCCGCCGTCACTGACACCGAGTGAGTAGGAATCCGTAAACACTTGTGGTGCTCTTTCACCAAAATTGTTCCGTTTGACTATTTCTAGGAGGCGATTCCTCTCAATTTGTCCTAGGAAGACCTTAAAAAAAACAAAAGTAAAATATACGATCGAACCTATACCGAGTTATCGCATAAATCTATCAACATTCAACATTGTGCATCTAGAATTTTAATCTTAGTCTTTATTCCTTATAAAAGAGCTAGTGGTGTTGGTTCTGTCATCACCCCACTACCAACTCCCAACCTTTTTAAGGAGGAAAAATAACATGTGAGGCTGGAGGATCACATGTCGACTAATCTTACCAATTTTCTATTTGTTGTGGAAAGGAAAAAACGTAAAACTAAAAAGATCAATATATTAGTAACAAATATGTACAACAATTAAGAGATTGTAATAACATCTTAATGATATTTTTTTTAAATTAAAATCCCTTTACAACGCACGCGCAATATGCTAGTATCATCTAAGATTTAAAGTGCAGGTAACGTAGCCTTGGGTCTTAACGTGGCAAGAATTTTGTATTTAGGCTACTCGCGCTATAGTACGCCCTCAAGTTAACTCCTACCACTACCCAAAAATTAAGTGCATTACTTGAACTATAAATTTCGTAGATGCTGAGAAATACATATTTGATGATATTGAGGTGGCAGGAGTCTGTTTTGGATAAATACTACAGCGACAGGGCTGAGTGCACAAATTCTCATAACCGTGGACAAAATGTTAGCACTTGAGCTGCATCATATGCAGGTGATACATTTAACCAAAATTAAGAATCTAAATGTGGATTTTATAAGTTGGACTTTAAGTGATACATTTAACCAAATTTAAGAATGTAAATGTGGATTTTATAAGATTATGAACCTAGGCTGCATTCGGCAGTCAGGTTCCCAACTCTTCCTCATCGTTTTCCGCGCGCACGCTTTTCAAACTATTAAACGATGCGTTTTTTTGTAAAAAGTTTCTATACGAAAGTTGCTTAAAAAATCAAATTAATCCATTTTTTTAAAAAATAGCAAATACTTAATTAAATCACACGCTAATCGCTGCTCCGTTTTGCGTGCTGGGGAGTGAGGGTTCCCAACCCTCACTCCCGAACACAGCCCTAGATGATACCTTGGTCGAAGCTTAAGGACCGACCGTCTATTTTACTACAAACTAACATGGTGGCCCGCGCAAATTGCGCGGCTAGCATCATTATATTTTCTCTCATATAATAGCATATATATTTTCTCAATGCATTATTCAAATATATTAAAATGACAACATAATTTTAAATTTTATACTAACTTTACGAAACTACTTATGTGTAATATTCATATTGTATTTTATATACATGTTAGTTATTAATTATTTTTAATATTAAATTTTAGTTATTTGTAAATTATATTTCTATATTGACTCTAGACACGTCTTTCAATTTTTCTTTTTTTAATTCCGAATTTTCGCTATCTGTAAATTGTATTTCTATGTAGACTCTAGCCTCTTCTTCCAATATTATTTATTTTTAATTCTGAATTTTTACAATATTTCTGATTGTATTTCTATGTGGACTCTAAACTGATCTTTCAATATTCTTTAATTTTTAATTTCGAATTTCAGTTACTTCTAAATTGTATTCCAATATTGATTTAGACTCTTCTTCCCATGTTTTTTTAATTTTGAATTTTAGTTATTTGTAAATTGTATTTTTATATGAACTCTAAACTCTACTTTTAATTTTATTATGTTTATTCCGAATTTTAGTTAGTTTTAAATTCCTACATGGACTATTTACTCTACTTCTTATATTCCTTATTTTTAATTCCAAACTTCTATTATTTCTTAATTGTATTTATATATGGACTCTATAGTCTACTTCTAATATTCCTTATTTTTAATTCCGAATTTCTATTTTTTTATTAATTGTATTTCTATATGGACTCTATACTCTACTTCTAATATTCCTTATTTTTAATTCCAAATTTCTATTATTTCCTAATTGTATTTCTATATCGACTCTATACTCTACTTCTAATATTCCTTTTTTTAATTCCGAATTTCAGTTATTTCCTAATTGTATTTCTATATGGGCTCTATACTCTACTTCTAATATTCCTTATTTTCAATTCCAAATTTCTATTATTTCCTAATTGTATTTCTATATCGACTCTATACTCTACTTCTAATATTCCTTATTTTTAATTCCGAGTTTCAGTTATTTCCTAATTGTATTTATATATGGACTCTATACTATACTTCTAATATTCCTTATATTTAATTCCGAATTTTAGTTATTTCCTAATTGTATTTCTTTATGGACTTTAGTCTCCTCTTCTAATATTTCTTATTTTTTAATTCCGAATTTTAACTATTTCTAAATTGTATTTCTATATGGACTCTAGTCTTCTCTTCTAATATTCCTTATTTCTTAATTCCGAATTTCAGCTATTTCTAAATTGTATTTCTATGCGGACTCTGCTTTTTTTTTTCTCCGATTAATGTGAGAATTTTAAGGCCATGAGAGCGTCTTTCAATTTTTCTTTTTTTAATTCCGAATTTTCGCTATCTGTAAATTGTATTTCTATGTAGACTCTAGCCTCTTCTTCCAATATTATTTATTTTTAATTCTGAATTTTTATTATTTCTGATTATATTTCTATGTGGACTCTAAACTGATCTTTCAATACTCTTTAATTTTTAATTTCGAATTTCAGTTACTTCTAAATTGTATTCCTATATTGATTTAGACTCTTCTTCCCATGTTTTTTTAATTTTGAATTTTAGTTATTTGTAAATTGTATTTTTATATGAACTCTAACTCTACTTTTAATTTTATTATGTTTATTCCGAATTTTAGTTAGTTTTAAATTCCTATATGGACTATTTACTATACTTCTTATATTCCTTATTTTTAATTCTAAACTTCTATTATTTCTTAATTGTATTTATATATGGACTCTATAGTCTACTTCTAATATTACTTATTTTTAATTCCGAATTTCTATTTTTTTCTTAATTGTATTTCTATATGGACTCTATACTCTACTTCTAATATTCCTTATTTTTAATTCCAAATTTCTATTATTTCCTAATTGTATTTCTATATCGACTCTATACTATACTTCTAATATTCCTTATTTTTAATTTTGAATTTCAGTTATTTCCTAATTGTATTTCTTTATGGACTCTAGTCTCCTCTTCTAATATTCCTTATTTTTTAATTCCGAATTTTAACTATTTCTAAATTGTATTTCTATATGGACTCTAGTCTCCTCTTCTAATATTTCTTATTTTATAATTCCGAATTTCAGCTATTTTTAAATTGTATTTCTATTTGGACTTTGCTTTTTTTTCTCCGATTAATGTGAGAATTTCAAGGCCATGAGAGCGAACGTGGAGGCTCATTTTCTATTCCTTTTATAATATAATAGATATTACCTAAATTCTATTAGAATGGTTACTTTTACTAAAGTTCGATATCAAACCACTTTCTATTTAATATTTTCACATAAAGGCATGCATTATTATCTATTGTTTACATTTTACACACGGTGATCCGTGTGACCGTGTGTCAACCAGTGACCGGGCCTTGTAAAAACTATGACCCCACGGATTTTTTTGCAAATACACCTTTTGCATGTGAAAAATAGTGAAAGAACACATGAAACAATAAAAAGTTATATAGAACCCACGTTGACGTACTTAATGTATTTTGCTCACAGTTGAGAATAGCTCCGTTACTAGTGTCAGCACGTCTAGGAGACAAAAAAAAAATAGGAAGGAGTTTAGTAAAGATGGAGTGAGCTGATCGTCTTCTCCAGCCTCCGTGATGATATGTCCCTATCCTGTTTCTCCACCGCCCTCTAGCGGCTCACTATGACAAACCGTTTCATGGCAACGGGAAATTCACCGTAGGGGTCACATCCACGTCTTCGTCCTCGTGGTGATAAAGTTTTACCGTCCCCGCCCCCGTCAACCACGACGGGGCTATATTTTCTCCGGCCCTGATCCCTACGTGGTGAATTTATCCCCGCGGTTATCCCGTCCCCGTCAAACAACATATTCATCTGTAGGGGAATGGGCAATCGGCATGGAGAATCGGTGGCGGCGGACGGCATGCTGGCGGTGGACGGCGCTGGCGGTGGAGGGCGTGCTAGCGGCGGAGGGCACTTGCGACGAAGGGCGCTGGCGGCGGACGACGCTCGCGATGACGGCTGCAGGCTCCGGGCGGCGCAACGACAGCGGCAGACATCGCGCCCGCGTCGTACGGTTGGGACGGGATAGCGCCCGCGTGAGAGGAGGCGGCGGCGCACGTGCCTGGTGGCGCTGGTGCGATATGGAACTAGGGATTGGGGAGATTGACTAGTTGACTAGGGTTTAGGTGTTATATATACCTGCTAAGTGGGCTTTAATATTATGGGCCAAAATGTCTAGGAAAATCTAGAATTGATCCTACATACAGTTAATACGGGTCACCACGGGGGGCGGGGACGGGGGATAGAGCACCATCCCCGCCCCCGTCATCCCTGATGGTGATTAGTTTGGAAACATTTGATTCCCCATGGAGGATAGATTTCAACCCTTTCGTCTCTTATTTATTTTAGTCTTTTTTCTCCCCTTTCTTGGCATAAGTCGGTCTGATTGATTGCGTCATGTAACAAACATTATATTCTTCTAATATATTGACGTGCAATCCTTTTGCGCGTTCGAGAAAAAAAAAAGATAGATTTCAACCATCCTCATCCCTAATATGTGAATTTACCGCGGGGAATCAGTGATCGGGTCCCATTGCCATTTCTAGTAGGTCGAGCGAAAGAAGAGAGGGAGAAGGAGCAGAGTATCGTACGACAATAATAGGCGTTTTCTTCACTCCATTTTCACAAACGAAATGGATAAACAGTTACCATTTCTATAGAATTCTTGCCGTATTTTTTTTCATTCGGTTTTTACAGCTCAAAAGGAGATATAAATTTCAAAGGCACAACCAATCGGCCATGCGGTTATTCCAAGATTTGTACCCTCGCTGTTTGTTTAGCCATAGAAAAACAAATGAATTTTTAACTTAGTTTCAAAATTTTCTAGTCTCTTTTTTTTTAAAAAAAATAGTAGCCTTAATTTTTAAACTGCTAAAAATAGAAATAGACAAGTCCAATTCTAAAATTTAATTTTTTACCATGTTTATTTTTCTACATCTTTATCAGCCAAACCTGGAGGCTCTCTGTCCATCAAATTCAAACCCAATCTCATCATCAGCATCAGCACAATAAATGGCCGATTCAGAAATGAAAATGGCGCACCTTAGCCGCCGCTGGCCACGATCTTCTTCCCCAAGTTCATTTAGTGCATTGGTTTAAGTTTCCACCACGCTGAAGTCTACGACAGTACACTGAATTTCGTCAAATTTGGTACGGAGAACTGGTAATGATGCTACACAGATTTATCATTCATACCATCAACTATCTCATAACCCTGACACCAATACAGGAACATTTGCGTCTGCCATAGACAACTGATACACGACGACGTCAATCATCACTTGTTCAGTTCATCGCTTCGACAGCATAGCCAGGGCCAATATTGACATGGAGGCTATGATCCTGAAGCCTGAGCTCTCCCACAACTTCTGCTTGTCGCAGGCGGTCTGCTGCTTCAGCGGCAATCGGCTTTGTAGTTTTTTGAGAGGTTTATCTCTTCGCTCTACCATCTACATAAGGAAGATTAAACATGTATGATTGCAAGATATTCCAACTACATATATGATTAGATTAGCAGAGAGAAGATAGATGGTTAATTTTCAGGAAATGAAAAAAAATGTGATTGCACTCATGTTGATCAGTAATCCTCTGAAGGTGAAAATCATTCCCTGAATATTGCAAGTGGTAAGCATAGTACCTTATGTAGTTTTCGCAGCTGAGCTCTTGATACTTTGAGGGTGCATTCAAGTTTCAGTACCTTCTTCTTCAGCTCATGAACCGTTGTCATTTGATTCTTCTCCAACTATATATTACCAACAAATTTAAATTGAATAAAAGCATAATTTAAAATTTCAATATAAAAACATACTAAATGAATGTATTTTGTGGATCAAGGAAGTAATTAATTTGTAACTTGTAAGCGTATAACGACCTGCGAGAGCTCTTTCGCTTCAAGGAACTTCTGAACAAGATCTAGCTGCTCCTCTACCTTCTTCACTCGAAGCTCGCATTCACCCAAAGAATTGATCTTCTCATGCCCTCCTGACAGGGACAAGCACTGCAACCGTGCCAACATGGCTGATTCTGCACTGGCTTCTGCAGTGGCTTGTGCCACTGAAATCTGTGATCTAAGAATATCCAATTTGTAGGAAGACAAATACTGCTGACATGAAAATTTCCCATTTGATTTGCAGTTGATGAAACTACTAGGTCAAAAAAAAATATTACACCAAAACATAACAGTTACCTGAACACATCACACTGGAAGATTGACAGTAAGTGTAGTATAAGGGGGTGATGATCACCTGTTCAGTGCTACATATTGATGTTCGCAGCTGCTCATCCTTGTCCTGTAAACATTTATGCAGCTTCTTCACCTCCTCCTCCATGCTTCTCGCCCTCGACTCAGCAAACTTCTAATATTTCATCAATTCAGTGCAATTGTTTTTTCACAGAACATCGAGAAGTCATGATTAGGAGAGTGGAACATACCTTCCTGTTTTCTGATTCCTGAGCAAGCAACTGTTCCTTGGAAGCAAGCTTGATCTTGGCATCCTTGAGCTCTGCATCCAGCCAAGCCAAGCTTCTCCTCAGGCTAAGCTTCTTCTCTGCGAGATCACTCAACAGTGGATCCAACTCCAACGAGTAATATGACGATGATGGCGTTGTTGTTGCCCTCTCTGAAATCGGCATGAAGACAGAAATGCCTGCACTTTGCAAATTTCAGCAGGCAAGAAAAGCCAACCTGGAGCCACAGTTTCTGAAAATAGTGAGTATGTTGTGTCAAAAGAGCAAAGCAGTGGCCAAAGGCCACTAGTTTGTGTGGAGCTCGAGAGCTGCAACTAATGAGAGACATGTTGCTTTCGTTACCCATTCGAGATAATCCTACGGTGGTGAATGGCACGGGGCGAGATCGAGTGTAGTGATCAGATTGTTTTCAAGTACTCCCTCACTCCAGGTCGATAGAGATGGTTTCGAATCTTCACTCTCGAACGCAGTCTTAAACTCTCGAGAGGACGTCCCTGATTTATTCAAACACCATATAAATAGTTGTTAAAAATTCGCAAAAAAATTTGATAACATTCCTACAATATACCTATACTACCCACAAAACATAAGCTACATATTAAGAAATAAAAAAGACAAATCCAACACCCATTCAAATCTTATGTTTTTCATTTCTTAATGTGTAGATCGAATTTAAATATGATCTTTAGCGAAGTTGTAGGCGTTATTATACTGTACATTACCTATTTTCTTTTAGAATTTTGTGCAATCATTTACATTGATTTTTTTAAAAAAATATACGAGGGGACATCTCCTTGAGGTATTAGAATCCTCTCCCATTTTATTTTAGGGGTTAATTGGATCGATGCTATTGCAAATTTGCCTATTCAAATAAATGATATTACAATTCATCTATTCGTAGCTGTGCCATTGAAATTTTACAAAACTAGGATCGTGCCACTGCCGTTAAGTTTTCCATCCATATCCTTTTTCTTTTTTTCTGTTTTCTTCCTTCTTTCTCCTGTCTTCTTCCCTCTCCTCTTTGCTCGGCGGGGTGAGGGCCAAGGAGGCAGCGGCGAGATGCTCGTCCTCATCCTCTTCCTTCTCTATCTACCCACAGCTGGGAGGACGGTGACACGGCTCGCCCTGGATGCAGCGAGGTGGCGCCTACTCGTGTTGTACACCTACCTGGCGCCGTGGTTCGTGTACGCTGCCGTGGGCGCCTACGAGCTCGACTCCTGGCGCTGCCTCTCCCTCGCTCGCCTCGATGGGCCAGGTGCGTCCACCGTCGCCACAGAAGACCCCTACGGCGCGAGAGAGGAGGAAGGGGGAGAAGAGGGGAAAGAGAGTGGAAAACCGAACAGTCACTGATATATGGGTCTCATAGTTTTTAAGGATTTTGTCAACACTATGGCAGCCGGAACAGCCATCCAAACTGACTTGGACCTTATTTACACTGGTTTTGGAGTTTGAAGGATGCATCATATCTAATATTGTAGTTCAGGAACAAATTTCAGACTAGTCAACAAATTGAGGGATCTAAGGTGAACTTATTCCTTTAGGATACCTGTGGTGGTCCGAAGATTGGGCTTCATGCTGGACAGTTGAAATGGGCCAAAAACGCTGAGACAAAGCATGCGAAGAAATAAGTTCACTGGAGGTCCCTCAACTTAACAGCGAGATTTTTTAAAATCTCTTAACCACAAAACCAGAAATCATCACCTCTAAATTATACAAAACCGTCTAATTTAGATCCCAAGGCAGTATAGATGGCTAGTTTCACTAACGTGGCATCCTAGTCAGCAAAAATAATAAAATAAATATGTGAGGGCCCACATGTCAGTGAGAGAAAATGATGTGGGCCCTACATCTCTTTTTTCTTTTCTTTTTCTCTACTCTTCTCAACTTCTCATGCGCAGGCGGGTGTGCGGCCGACGGCAGAGCGGGCGCGGCCGCCGGCGCTGCGGGCTCTGCGGCGCACGGGGAAGAAGCGGGAGAGGGGGAGAGGAGGCGGCCGGCACCAGAGAAGGGTAGGGAGGCGGCCAGCGCGAGGCCCGCGCCGAGGTGGAGGGCGTGGGGGCCCCTGCGCTCCCCGCGCGCCACCGCCTGCGCGTGGAGGGGAACCGGTGGCAGCGGGACTGGAAGTTGTCGGAGGCCGCCGCGCGCCTAGGCCGGCGCCGTCTACGCCGTGCTCAGCTGCTGGGCCGGCCGCTTCGCCGGCTGCAACTTCCCTCTCCTCATCCGTGTAAGGCCATCATCCCACGGTCTGTAGTATTTCATGAATTGAATTGCGGATGATATACATCGATGTGGCTGTCATGGTTGCGTTCTTATGATTTGCCATCACGCACGAAGTTATCGATTGCTTGAAATTACAAAAAGCGACAACAATTCTATCAATCTAGCTGTGTTGTTCATTCATCCGTCGACTCCGCTCTCCGCCACCGCCGCTCCGGCCGCTTGCCGCCGAGAGCCCCGCGTCGTCGTCGTCCATCCCGCTCGACCCTTCCCTACCAATCCTCATGCTCGCCGTCGGCCCTCTCCCGGCACTCCCATCGGCGCACGCATCCACCCCGGCCGCTCTCCTCCGCATCCTCCGCCGGTGTCGCACCGAGGAGGTGCGCGGCGCCGTGGTGGCGGCGTGGCTGGCGACAGCGAGGTTGCCGCTTGCCCGCTCACCCCCCGCGGCTCCGGATGGGGAGAGGCGGGCGCCGGCCACTGCTCCCGCCGTCGCGGGCGGTCGCGCCGTCCACCTCCTCTCCCCATCTCCCGCTTCTTCCCCACGCGCCGCCCCGCCCGCCCTGCCGTCGGCCGCTATCTGCCCGCATGCGCGTGAGAACTGAGAAGAGAAGAGAAAAGGAAAAGAAAAAAGAGATGTGGGGCCCACATCATTTTCTCTCACTGACATGTGGGCCCCCACATATTTATTTTATTATTTTTTTTTGACTAGGATGCCACGTCATCAAAACCAGCCACCTATACTGTTTTGGGACCTAAATTAGACGGTTTTGTATAGTTTAGGAATGAAGATTTCTGGTTTTGCAATTAAGTGACCATAAAAAATCCCGCTGTTAAGTTGAGGGACCTCCGGTGAACTTATTCCGCATGCAAAAGATCCGCCCAGTCTGATCAAAGTAGATGAACGAGATAACAATGCAGAACAGAGATAGTACAGCGAAAGAGGGAGAAAGAAAATTTAAAAAGATAGAAGTTTAAAAGTAGAATGAAGAAAATAATGTCATTTAAACCGAACCAAACTTCCATGAAGCAGTTACTGAGAATCAAATCACCCGCCTGTTAAGTTTGTATCTGTAGCGTAATTTTGTACATTCAACCAATTCCAGTCAACTTGTACCATTTCATTCATAGACGATCCCATTCACCAATCACCATCGTTCATCAAATCAAATACAGATCAGATAAAATTTATCATGATAAATTCAATGCAGGCCACTTTAGACCAATAATCCCCACCGCCCACACACAAAAAGAATTGCTTTGGTGTTAACTAACTAGTTTTATTTTAGTATAATTATAAAGTGAAGAAATGGACATATCAGGTGAAACAAATATGCAATAATCTATTGTATTATTAAAACAGCTTGAAAGAAAGTACTACGTCATTGTGGGGGCTAAAAATTCTCACAGTAATCGAAGAAAAAACAAAAAATATTGAACCGTTAGATCACAAACTGACTAGATTTTAACGGTGTAGATTAATTTGAAGATATGAGTATGAATAGAAACTACTGCTCTAAGTTAAACTATTCTGTCCTAATAGAAAACTGAGAAGTAATTACAAAATTTTAATTGATGAGGAATCGGACATGCACGTTGCATGCATATAAGTATGTGTTGGAGTAATTAGAATACAAAACTAATTACATAATTCCTCGTCCATCTATGACTGAATAAAACATGATATATATATTAAGCAATGCAAAGTGATTGGCAAAAATATATTGACATGTTCTAAAGATTCAAACGGAGGAATTAACAGTGGCATAGACACATATATGTACCGATCAAGAATCTTCTATTAATTTATTAAAGTAGTAGAAAAAGGAGCCTCCACGTTCGCTCTCACGGTTTAGAAATTCTCATATTAATCGAAGAAAAAAAAACAGAGTCCATATATAAATACAATTTAGAAATATCTGAAATTCGGAATTAAAAAAAAGTAAGGAGTATTGAAATAGGAAACTACAGTCCATGCCGTATACAATTTAGAACTAAAGGAATTTCAGAATTAAAAAAATAAATTAAAAGGAAAAAAAAGTACGAATTACCCCCACTATCGCGGTCGTCCGAATTACCCTCCTGAACCACAAAACCGGACATTCTTCACCCCAACTATGCAAACCGGACAAATTACCCCCCTCAAACCAATTCAGAGCAGTTTTGTCCAACGTGGCGCACACGTGGCAATCCAGTCAACGTTTTTTAATAAAAAATTGTGGGACCCACCTGCTATACTCTTCTCTTCTTCCTCTCTCTCTCGCTCTTTTTTCTCTCGCGGCTCACGCTGCGCGCACAGCGAGGATAGCGTGGGGACGGGCGGTCGGCGACGGCGGAGGCAGCGAGCGCGGCGGAGGAGGCGGCGGCGGCGGCGGCCGGCGAAGTGGAGCAAAGTGCCCGCGGTGAGGGGCAACGGGCAAGCGCGCGGCAGGCGGAGTGGAGCGGGCGGCGGCGAGCGACTAGAGCAAGTGGGCGAGCGTGCGGCCGCCAGCAGAGTGGAGCAGATCGATGGCGGGAGATGGGGGGAGGAGGCCGAGCACGACATTGTCATCGCGCTGGACGGCGAGGTGTCGGTGTGGGTGACCGGCGTGGGTGACCAGCCCGTTGGTAGGAAGGCGAGAGCATTGGGAGATACCTCGTCAGGGAGGTCCAAGTCATCATCCGGAGGCGGCGGCGGTTGCGCCCCCTCCACGGCGGACCCACCGGCGGCAACGCCGATCGCCGCGCCTCTCCCCTCCCCCATCTTTCGTCGGCCTCCTCCCCTCTCCCTCTCTTCCTCCTCCTGTCACGAGGCCCTCGAGGTGGCGGAGCTCGACCGGGCTCGCCGGCCACCTCTTCCCTCTCTATCGCTGCCGGCCTATCCTCTCTTTGCGGCGGAGGAGCCGAGCACGACGACGGAGTCAGCGCCCGCAACGAAGCGGAGAAAGGCGCGGCCGCGTGCTGGGGCTGGTTGTCGCGCCTGGCGTTGGCCGCCTCGCCTCGCCGCCGCCGCTGCCTCCACCGCCCCACCCCGCCGCCGCTCACCTCCTCCTCCGCCGCCACTGCTTGCTTTCTCCATTGCCCTGCCCCGCCGCCCTGGCCCAC